CTTATTAAATAGGTTACATTAGGAGTATTATACAGTTTTAACTAGTTAAATAACTCATTGTATATCACAAAGATCTGAATCTAGAAGTAAGACCTTTCTATGTTATTTTGTGCACCTGTGATAACAAAAATGATTTGATTTGATAGGTAAATATCCTTACGTTAAAATAAGAATATTGAACACTCAAGTATTTCCATTATAATTCACTCACTTTTTTATCACAAAACAAAACATATTTTGATTTTTCAAACAAGACCGTGACTTTGACGTGTATAGGAACGCTCACAATAAGCTATTTTTCGATCCACATTGTAGAATGAACGATTGACACTGTAGACACTAGTTTTGTTGATATGGCTAGCATCAAATCGTTTTCTAAAATAGCTATCGACAATACGCTACCAATGATAGAAAGAGATTAGATAGGAAACGTTTGTAATATGGCTAAGCCCCCTAATCAGATAATTTCAAAGTCGGTGCCAGCCGAGGCATAGAAAATCTAATATATATTGATACGTAAAATACATATTTACCTATTAGATATTCATATCTTAAAATATTGTCCGCTGGCACCGACTTCGAAAATATCTGATTAGGTATCTATCTATTTTAAATGAAACCCCTCGTTCAGTTATTTTTTTACATTTTAGTGCCTGGAAGTCGGTCTTTTTTTAAGTTTTTATTTTTATATTTTTAGTGTAGTAATTTGTAGGAAGAAAGTTTTTAATAACATATTCGATTAAACAATTTGTTTAAAAAATATATTTATTGTTGATTTTTTTTTAAACCGCTCGACCGATTTCGATAAAATTTATATGGGACCACCTGAGAAGTATATATAACGAAGCAAAAATTTTCCAAATCGGTTCAGGCATCTTCGAGTAATCGGTGAACATACATAAAAAAAAGATTCCGACGAATTGAGAACCTCCTCGTTTTTGGAAGTCGGTAAAAAATATTTAATATAGATATTCGATTAAAATTAGGTTATCTGATTGTAATGTTTTTCAACAGAACTACATAAACATGAATACCTAAACAAAATATGAAATATTAGGTACTTTGTCACGGTTAAACCTCTAAACAGATTTTAATGCTAAGCAAAAACATCAATTGTGTCAAAGAGACAGACATTTCCTACCTTTTATCCCGTCCAACTTGACACACCCAAGTGATACGAAATATAAAAGTTACAACTACCCTCCTTCTATCCATAATTATGAAGTAGCAAATGCTATAGTGGATACACTGTCAAAGTAAAAAAAAAAACATTTTTTATATATCATAGTTATTTTACAACAATTACTGATATCATAATCGTAATGTGAAGTCAAAATAGAGGCCTAGATAATTCGATCGAAAAATACAACAAAATAGGTAAGTATTGTGACAAACATAAAACACTTTAAATAAAATTACCTCTTCGGATTATTTCGCGGATTTATTTTGATTTTTTTGTTCCCGACGTTTTGAATGCTTTACAGCATTCATGGTCACGGGAGAGACTGAGGTGTTAGATGTCTCGAAGGTATAGTTGTTACAGACAGTCTACCCAAACTGGTTGAGTTGAGACCAAAAATCAAAATAAATCCGCAAAATAATCCGAAAAGATAGTTTTATTTAAAATATCAAATATTCGCGTAAATCTAAGAAAGTATTAAATATAAAACACGTTAAATACCTCCGTTATGAGTATATATTATTTATTCTATGTTAAATAAGTATTGTTAAGTTACGATGTACATACTTACAATGTAAATAATATATACCTACATAATATGTATCTTTCATCTTTATTTAATAAACAGACGACAAACCAAAGAAAACTTATATAACTTTCAGTTCATTACGAATTTCTCAATAACTTTCAATACTTATCATTAAAAATATATCTATTCATCGAATCAAAGCAAGTAATTTGAAATCCACTTAATCGGTAATGAATGAATCCGATTCAGATTTTTGCCATTGTTTCGTTTGGAGCCGTTATTCAAGTCCCTACTGAATTTTAATTGACTATCGATACTATGGACACTCAATAACATCGTTATTAGTTGCCCCATCCCTATTGTCTAGGCGCTTATTAGTATACAGCAAATTATATTTGTAAAGATAACTTAATTTCAATACTTATTTGTAAAAATATCTTTTTAGTTTGCTGCATTATGTAAGTATCTAAAGTAACGAAATGTAAAATGTAATTTAAATTACCTACATAATTACCATGTAATTATTTATTAAGGCCTTTTGTTATGTTCATAGCCTAAACAACTTTTAAAATATTATTTTTATTTATTACATTCCCATTTTAACACTCTTAAGGGATGATTTTCGGAATAATAACTCCTATCCTATATCATTCCCGGGGTCTCAAACTATTTTCTTACCAAATTCTATCTACATCGGTCCAGTAGTTTAGGAGTTTATTCAGTACAAACAAACAACAAAAAATCTCTCCTCTTTATAATGTACTTTTTTCTTTTATCATTTTTATACAAGTGTTAGGTAATAAAAGTATATCGAAACATATAACGCCCTCTATTGACATTTAAAGCGCTTTTAATTACTAAATTAAAAGCGCGCTCAAACGTTCAAATGAGCGCTGATTCGGCAAGGACATTTTTTGTCGCTGATTTTGTATCTAGAACTTTTTTGATCGATGATGTTAACAAATTTTTTATATTCTTGTTTCATTTTGCTGGAATGAAATTGGGGAAAAAACTTCGGATCAAAGAGTGTCGCTGATATATTGATGACTTCATCCAATTTTATTCATCAAAAACTCATTAGATAAAGAAATTTGACTTAGTAATAGGTTTATCTGGTACCAGCTTAACTTAAACACGTGCATAGACAACATTCAACAAATGAATTCGTATAAAAAACTATCTTTCATATTACATTATCTATACATATAAAATAATAAAATTCTAACTGAGTCGAATCTGTACATTGCATATTTTTTGGAAAACCGTACTTAATATTATAAAAATAAATGTTTTTAAAGAACCAAGTTAATATGCATTCCTAAATACAATTTTGGTAATTTTACTGAATATATATTGAAAAATCAACCACGAGGTAGTGAGTTTGTTAAGTGTATTCATAGATAGCGCTGTTTAAATTTTAATAGTTGTGCTCCACCAACACAATATTTTAGTAAATACCTACTTATTAAAAATAAAATCTTTGTTGAAGTTTGTGAATCAAGGCCCTCTGTTGTCTATAACATAAAACAAAATAGATTTGATGTAATTTTGAACAAAGAAATTGTGGATATCATTCTTTTTTTTAACGTTCGGAAATACATTTACGCTTACCACCTGTGTACATACAGGTGGTTATGTGGGAGTTGGAACTCACCGGCTAGAAAAGCCAGTACTAACCATTATAACCCAGGGGAAACTCCTGTCTTAATAGGACGTCGCAATATCGCTTAAGCAGTCAACCATGACGCCCGGTCTGCCGAAGCAGACCACAACCAAAGGGTTGCTCTAACGGTCCAATCCTCTATCAGAGAAATACCAGTAGCAACCCGCAACACCGCTCATCATAGTGGTCCAGCTCCCAGTGTATTTCTTTATTCTTAGCCTCACGCCCGGCCTTTGGCTAGCCCGCCTTTTATTAATTTTAACAGATTTGCACAAAAAACTATAGCAATTTTAACAATACATACATTATATGAATAATCAAACGATTTTTTTTTCATTATTACTTTATGGCATTTTTTAATTACGAAATTTGCATTCTTAAGGTTCATTTATTATATTCTATTAACAGCTGTATAATTTTAAATAAAACAAAATATTGTAAACATTTTTTATTCTCTTGATAAATATATATATTTTTACATTCTAACCAGTCAAAACGTATTTTAACAACAATGTCTAAAGACTAGCTGAGAGCAAACATTGTTCAAAGACCATAAAACATAATACTAGGGGAATGAATGCTATGCCAAATATAGATTCATTTTTGGAATTAAACTAATTAAAAAGTTTAAAATTTAATAATGATTTATTGTTAATCATTAGCTACTTATGTTAATATTTTCAACCTATTATTACAATTACACCTTGAATTCTTAAAAATACTCATATATGGATAGTTTTGGTGTAAATCTAAAACGCGCCTGTGTAGTTAGCCATAAAGCAATGCGCATAATAAAAGTGTGTATTGATTTTCTACTAATATTAAAAACGCAAAAGTTTGTTATATTTACTCTTTTGATTTTGATGAAACTTTAAAATAAAAGAGCAACACATACAATTTATAAATATACCTAAAGCAATACAAGATAAGCGAGCAAAATTGCAGGAAGATGCTAAATTTTTATACATTGAAATTTTAAGGGTATAATATCCTTTCAACATATTTTGGCTACGGCGTCCAATCTCCCTGAGATGGACAGTGCACATTACAAGACACAAATGCACTCTCTGATAGTGATCTCCTGATAATATAATAAAGATTTTAAAACTATAATTCTTAGTACTAATAGTTTTAAGAATAATAAAGATTATTTTGCTCTCTGTTCAATTAGATGATAACTTCAATAATCATTGTCATGTTTCAGCCAATTCACACAAAGCCATAATTAATTATACACTTAAACCTTTCTCATGAATCACTATTGATTAAAAGTCTATGAAAAGCCCTATGGTAGTTTTTTAATTTATCACGTTCATACAGACAGACAGGCGTGGTGGAATGACTTTGCTACTATTGGCTTTATAACTTCGTTTTGAAGAAAAGGTATATTCCATCCTTATTCTGTTCCTTGTATTCCTTATTCTGTTTTCAATCTCTATCTATTGATGCTGGTTAACAGGGCATGTGATTTGATTTAGAACCCGGAAATTAAGAAAGTAAACATTTTACCTAAAAATTATACTTTCGAATATCTTAAAATTTGTTACATATTCCAATATACTGTATATATGTATATGTGAAAGAAAATTACTTTAGGAGATCTGTTTATCATTTTATAATTATAATTAGTCTTCACCAGCTGGTACTGCATCCTCTAATCGTTTGATATACTTCACTCTGAGTTCAGTTACTGTATCACCTTTTAGTTGATCCTGAAAATGATGCTGCTTGTTAGTACTTTAGTATTACATCATTTTTTATAATAAAGTTCATTTGAAAAGTAATAATAAAATTGTTATATACAAATAAATGCATTATTTTTTTATAACACTCTAGTCTGTGTAATATTTGAGGTCAACAGTGAAGTAACTTAGAAACAAAAATGCCATACAAATTACTAAATGTATAAGGATCTGACCTGTAGCCTGCTAAACCATACTGATTTATTACAAAATGGCTGAATACCCAAATATACTATTTCACATTTACTATATTAATAAGATAAATAATTACCTGCACAAACCAACATTGCACATCGAGCTGCACCATTTGTAAAGCACCTCTAATAGCTCCAGGTATTAAAGCACAGTATTTTAAACCATTATTTGGCATTTCAACCCACTCACTCAGTGGACATTGATCCCAGACCAATGAGAACTCATCTCCTGCACTGCTCCAGCTTGTTACTGTGGGTTGCATATTTAAGTACAACCTGCCAATAACAAATTATAGCAATTTTATACCAAAATTATAAAACTTAAAAAAGTATTGTTTCAATAATATTCTTAACAGTACGATTTTACCTAAATGCCTGCTGTATTTTGTCAGCAGTCTCTCGCATCTCCAAGCACCGATTAGAAGTAGTTCGAGCCAGAAAATCTTCAATAAGCCTGACTCCCATGTTGTATCCAATTCTTTCTAGTTGCTTATTTACATCATCTGGGTTTTCTATTTCTTTAAGCATTTGAGAAACTAAGGCTCCATAAGTAAGGGTTAACAACTCCGAATTCTGCAAATTCATACGTTTTGTTTTAGCATCGTGAAACAGTATTATGTACCTATAATCACAATTCAAATAATGACTTTGCAAGTTTCTTACCACTTTTTTAGCATCCAGTCGAGAAGTTTGGCGTGACATAATTATAATTATTTTAAATAACTTTTATTCAATTATATTTTTAATTTTTGATTACTACTGCCCACTGACCTCAAATGCAAGTTTGACAATAGACATTTGACACATGGATGACAATTGACATTGACAATTAAATCAAAAGTTTTTTTTAATGTAATGGCTTATAGTTGCGTTAACAGACGCAATCCAGTCTGCCAGAAAAGTTTTATTTGTCATCCATGATCAATAGTTTCAAATTTCAATAATTGACAGACAGATGTTAAATTTAAAACATTAAACAGATAACTCATGAAACGGTTAATTGAGCTTAGTAAACTTTGGTTCTTGTTTAAAACACTACTATATGTACCATCAATTTGGTTTCATTTTAAATGATATTACCACATAGTGTTTAAGAATTAAAATACTATTCTTATAATTTTTTACAATTTTTCTACTCGTAAACTTGTTTTAACGTACAAATTGTTCGTAATGTTTCATCAGTTTGTAGTCTCATCTTAATCAAAATGCCTTTTTACATTTCGGATTATCAAATTATAATATTAATATACCTTATTCAGTTAATAAAGTAAATAAAAAATATTATGTGATTTTTTTATATAAGTAATGTTATAATAGCTGGAGTTTAAGCCAAGTACTGGAAATGAAGAAAATAATTCGAATTTGTTTTGATTTTTGTTTACCAAACCAAAATGTCGTTAATGTTAATGTCAAACTAAAGTTAAATAGGGCCTTCGAGAAATTAATTTTTTTATTACTATATAATTTAAAAACCGAAACCAAATCGCTATGTTCAAATTAAATATTTTAAACTATTTTTATATTATATATTTTTAAAATATGGAAGCTGATGGAAAAGAAATCAGAAATATTATAAATGATAGCGTCGTCGAATCTCAAGCAGCTGTGAATAATTTAATATTGGACTATTACAAGAAATTTGGAAGAAAAAGAGATTTAGAACAATTTTTTTCTTTATCAACAGCACAAAGTGATATAAGAGATCCATCAAGTTTGTTTTGGAAAAAAATGAAATCTCAAACTGACTCGGATTCTGGAGAAAAGAAGAGTGATTCTTCAACAGAACTTGGCAGAATATCTATACAATGCTCTATTCCTGAAGCTTCTACATCTCGTGTTAGTCTTATAAAAACATTAAAAAATACTTTAAGGAATCATCTTTGAACTTTCATAAGTAGGTTACGCTATCAAAATAATTCATATTTATTCACTCTAATTACCTTTCTGTTTTAGGGAGACTACCACATAGTAAAAAGTGATTCTGAATCTCCTCCTATAATAAACGAAGAAGGACAATGCAATTCTAGGAATTCAGACAATGAATCTGTAAAATCTGATGACATACATTCTCAGAAATGTAAGTTCATATTACTTAGTTTTATTTTATTATTAATATAACTATTTTATCTTATTTTCTATGTCTTTGTCATTGTATGTGTTATGTTAAATAAATGATGCCATAAAATAAAAATCACCACATTTATAAATTAGAGCCTTCTGCTGCGCTGGATTGTATTTGTTCAGACTAATCTTAAAAATTACTGGATGAATTTTATATGATCTTCACCAATAGAAAGACATGCAGAAATGTAGGCTTATATTTTATGAACCAACAGCTACCAGTTTGATAAAATTTGTAAATTAAGTTGAAAAAAAGAATCCCTTTTAAAAACTTTTTTTATATTATAAATGTGAAAAATGTTTGGAATTGCATACAAGAAGGTAGGACACTAGTAAAAATATATTAAAAAAATAGGTAAATTATTAGTAATTTAATTATATTTGTATTTTATCTTAATATTATTAGTAATATATATTTCTTTTATTATTACAGCTGTTGATAATACATTAGATACTTCTACAAATAAGCCACATTCACCTACTAGTAGTATAACATCTCAAAGAAAACTAGAATGGGATTCCTTAGCAGATGTTGGTTATGCTAATGAAAGTGACAGGAAAAATTCTGCATCTAGCCTTTCTACTTTAGAAAGATTAGCTTTGCATCAGCAATACTCTATTAATGATACAAAACAAAACTTAAATATAGGACCTCCCACTGCCCAATCCACTCCACTTGATGTAGAAGAAAGTAAAAATAAGAATAAAAAAGGTTTTTCAAAGAAAACAACTAAAATATATAAAAAAGATGTTGATCTAGTTGAAATGAATGTTTCCAATAATGAGAAAACGCCACAACCTATTAATGTTAATTTAACTAAACATATCTCATTCAATGTTGAAAGAGATGGTGGTGTTACTATAGAAAACATTACGAAAAGTGTCTCAGTGAGTCCTGAAAAAGCATCAACACAGTCTGACGCAAAACCTCAAGATAAATTAGACAAAGAGATACAGACTACATTAAATAAAGAAAAGTCGAGTAGTTCCAGTGAGCAGAAAACTAAAAAACAGTATCCTGTTTTAATAAGTTTAAACACCTTAAAAAAAAGAACTAGAAGAAAGAAAGTTAGAAAAATACAAAGGAAGCATACTAAAAAAAGGCTTGCTGATAAAGAAAATATACCATTAGAAAAAAGTGGAGATCAAGTATCGGAGGCCGAAAGTTTTGAATATATGCCGGGTCATATTTATAACTTAAACCAAATGAAAAGAACAAATGAAGAGAATAGAAGTGTTAATAATAATAAATCTAGCCAAGAATCAAGTGCAGGTTTAACTACAGACTCTAGCAGAACAACTAGGCATTCCTTTACCAAAGACCTAGAAAAAAGCATTGATATACTAAAAATTGCATTAGATAATAGATTTGAAGACGATAAATTGAAAAAGAAACTGGTAAAAGAAGTTGTTCAAAGACTGATCAAATCAAAGTATAAAGATGATGACAGTTCCACAGAATTTTTATCTGGCTTGAGTTTTGATAGTAAAAAAATAGATTTGTATAATTCAAATCGTACTTCAAGTACCTCGGATACAAATAACACTGCCCAAAATACCAAACAAGCTAAACCAAAGAAATCGATTTTACGAATGGACAAATTCAACTCAAGTGTCATAGCTTCGACATCACAAAGTGTTCCCAATTTGCCGACTATTACCAATGTTGAAAATCCAATTCCATGTTATGCTAAAAAGTTAGGTAATTTATCAAATACAGATTCTGATTTAGATAAAGCTAAAAACGTATCTGCTACAGGTATTGACAAAACTTCCTCAGAAGAACTTTACAAAAAATATTTAGATGCATTACGAAGAGAACAGGCTTACAAAAAACATTTGAAAGACAAAGAATTATTTATGAAACAAAAATTAGCTAGCTCTGATGTAGCTTTTAATATCACCAGACAGGCTGAAATGAAAGCACAGAGAATAAAAGATCTAATGAATGACTTAGTTCGAAATAATTATGATGATGGTTCCGGTGATGCTAGTAAATTAGAAGGGTCACATTCCAATATTAATTTGGAAAAATATAATTCTATAAGAAAACAAAGAAGTCATTCTGTCTTTACATTATCATCTGGGAATTCGGATAATAATAAACACATGTGCTCTAGCACTAAGTCTAATTCTAAGTCTTGTTACAAAAAAGTTCATGAACATTACTGTTGCTGTCCTTTTCATAAAATACATCCTAAAGTCGGAGTCGTTGATAGTTCAGTTCAGGTAAATATGACGCCAAAAGATAGAATATCTCCAGAGGAAATTCCAAACACGTCACGTGAATCAAAAACACAAGAAATCTTCAATGGCCCTTGTGTGAAATGTAAATTGCACCAAAATAAAGCACAAATTGTAACTGATCCTGCTACCGGTGAAATAAAATACGTGTGCCTTTGTGCTGATGATAGCCAAATTGTACCTGAAAATTTCCTAATTTATAAATGCTCAAAATTAACGAATAAGTGTCTCAAAGTATGTGACACTATGTCTAAAGGTACAAATTCAGCTAGTGGGCAAACTTCAAGCAATTCTACGTCGCCTCGTCAAAAGTCTTCATTTAAAAGTGAAGATTGCGAGAAAAAATGTTTGACCATAATAGACAATGTGAATCAAGTATCAAAATCTTCACAAACTAATCTGAATTTACCAATTAAACTTCAAAGTAGATCTAGTGAGCAAAGTATCAAATCTACTTCATCTCTAAGCTCAACCAACTCTCATAGCAAGAAACTTGACAATATTGCAGACAAAAGATTTGATAACAAGCAATACTTAATACACGAAGTTACAAGATGGATCCAAACAGAAATAAGCATTGATCCAAAAATATCTGATCCATCGCTTTCTGATATCAACATAGTGACTAATAAAGATTGTGTTCAACTAGCCAGTGAACAGTATAAAAAAGTTTCCAGACCTAATTCAGAAAGTAAAGTGCTTAAGGACTTTCAGGAAAATCTTTATTTGAGAAGTAGCAGAAGTAGATCAGATGTAAGTAATAATATAGAAGAAAGAAAATCTACTAATGATTATTGTAATAAACGTGTTGAAGAACCTGTGAAAGTAATTGAGAAAGAAGACAAAGAAATTCAAATGATTCCTGACGAAGTTGATAATATTCAAAATGATAAACAAAGTTTTAATAATTTTACTATACCTATACAAGGTACAAACATGACACTTAAGGTCAGTTTAGGATCCGGTGTTGATGGTGATACGGAAACCTTCGGAAAAAAAGTTGAAAGTATTGTTACGCAAGTATCCAAAGGTACAGAAACAGTTAAAAAGGATGTCGTCGAAAATTATACTTCTATAAGAGAGGAATGTTCAAAAGGAGTCCAGTCGGATAATGCAAATATTTTTGATGAGTATTACAAAAAATCACAAACCACATGTAATTACAAAAATACAGATGAAGATAATCTTTTGGCTGAAACGCAGGAAAAATTAAATAATAAAGCACCTTATTACGTAAATACTTGCATAACTGAAAAACACCAGTATAATACTTATCCTAAAAATGACCGTAGTCACATACAAAAACCATTACTCAGATCGAACACTGACACAGATACAATTGAAACAGTATTCCATACCACATTCCCAAAAAATGATACTAAAGATGTAGGATATCAGCCGGATGATGTTTTAAAGTCTCAAATGCAATCGAAAACTATTTCTACAGAAAAAATCGTACAAAAGACACAAATATGCCCTGAAAAATCATTAAAAGCTGTGGAAAGTAGTACAAAAAGTAAATCAAGTTCAGACACAGATGACCAATCAATAATTAAAACGTCAAATAGTGAAGCTGGTAATAGTAAAATATCTTCTAAGGATCCAATACTTGACATGATACAAGATATTACGAAACGTTACTCAAAGAAGGATGTTGAAAAAAGCCAAAGAAAAAAGTGCTTCAAAGAAATAATAACAGTTCTTAATTATCTGTTAGACACAGATGAGAGTGCAGATGATCGAAATCAAAGAAAAGAATCAAGCACAAGTGCAGGTGAAAATGCACGTGCGGAGATGAATTTAGCTGACAAAGACAGTAGTCAATCTGTGCCTGTTAAGACTTTAGTAGATAAAGGCATACAGTTATCTACAAAAAAGTCTAAATCTCGCAAAACGTGTACAGAATCGTCAGATCTTCCGATTTCAACAGACATGCCAAGTACATCCACGGACGCAGGGACTTGTAAAATTTTAAATAAAATTAAAAGAGAATGTGAACGATATCATCAAAAACGTTGCAAATGCACTGGGAATATATGTGAAACTTCAACAAGCACTTCGGCAAACTGCCATAGATGTAAGCATGTCCATCATTGTTCATGCAAAAGTCATAAATGTAGGAGCCACAAAAAGAGCGCTGAGAAATTAAAGAAAAAATGTGTCGCCTACAATTTGATAATACAAACATCAGAAAGCATGGTTAGTGAAGAGATTAATTACGATAACAATCGACCTCAATTAAAGAATATAATCGTTAAAGTGCCTTCCAAACGTAAAGTACAAAATATGCCTTTTAAAGAAATATCTTCGAAGATTGAGAACAATATGCCTCACTGTAGTCAGCGTATTTGTAACAATTACCGTTCGAAAAGTTTACCAAATGACAGTGAAATATCGAGTGCTGACGATCTTTTAAAGAAAGCTCAAGCATGCACTGTGAGGGAATATTTAGAGAAGAATCGCCCGGATTTTGTAGAAAAGAGCTCAAATCGTCAACATTGCTTGAAAGTGATCAACGAAACTAGGTAATACATTATAATTTTTAATCTGTAAAAAGTTTGTTTCTTAACCCCCGACGCAAAAAGAGGGGTGTCATAAGTTTGACGTCGATGTCTATGTCTGTGTGTGTGTATGTGTCTGTCTGTGGCATCGTAGCTCTCAATCAGATGGACTGTTATCGATGCGGTTTTTTTCATTTGAAAGCCAGTTTCCTTGCGGTGGTTCTTAGCTATGTTTGGTTAATATCGGTCCAGCAGTGTAAGAGTATCAGCTCTTCCAAAATGATGTAAGGCATTTTGGCGTATGATTACTCGATTAAGTGCGTATTTCCATAAACTATAAGTATTTTATTGGGTAGGGGGTCTTTTTAATTTTTAATTTAATTTTATCTTTAAATATGGTAGTAAAATACATATGGCACGAGTAAATGAAATCTTATTAATTACCGCTAATTAGAATTTATTAAGGCTAAGTAGTACTCACTAAATCTTTTTACTTTAGAAGAAGAGAGAACGACACTCCTCGATTGAACATGATAGTGGTCCATCCTATGCCTAACAATTGCATGGAACCTTACAATATGTGCTTCCAAGGTATTATAACTTGAATTCAACAAGTAATTATACTGTCGTGCAACTTCTCTTATAAATCTGTAACTGCCACAGTACTTAACGAACTTAAAGTTATGTTTAAATAACTTATTTCCATTGTAAATAATTACGAAATCTGTTTTTTTTTAATGTAAAATGAGATAAATAATAAAACTTATAATGTCTAATGTCGACTTAGAGCAATACTTAACGAGATATTTGAAAAAAGAACCTTTTACGGGACTTCATTTTCAATAACGTTTGAAATACAAAAATGACTGTCCCAATCTGGTTAGATCAAAGTATTTTTTAAATAGGTAGACATTTTATCTGACTAAGATATGTTTTAGGTATGCCGATTAATAATTGTATGTGTATTGATCCTAACCCCATTATGCATTGCATTCAAAATGAAGTAACAAGAGTTGGTGAGTCTACTATTTTTGCGGTTTACTATGTAGTATTTTAATAATAATAAATACAGATAATATACAGGAGACGGCCTAGTCGTTAAAATAGCGATCTTGATTTAAAATAATAGGTGGATATAATAGCTTTGGATTTGAAATAATATTCAGTACAATAAAGTACTGATTATATATTATTTTAAATTCAACAAATAGTATAACTATACGCAATGATATATTTTTGTATTCTACGTGCGATATTATCGACAATTATTGTAAATCTATTAGTAATTTTAGACCTATAAAATCATTGTTTGAGAAATGAACAAAAATATTGGGATTCGATTTAAACGTTCTTGTTACAAAATTCCCTAATGTCAAACCAAATGAATGCGACAAATTTTGCTTTCAAACAGCTGGTATTTTTTGCTATACATTCCCATGAGAAGCAAAGTTATAATTATTTGTTAATAGAAAACGAATTTGTCTCAATTAGCCTAAAATGTTCTCTCCCGTCACACCAATTAAAGTATCTCATAATAAGTAGCCACAGTTGTCTTCATCTATCGAAATTCATCAAGAAATTTTAGATTTGAGCCAACTTCATATTACCAACCTTTCCAACCAAATCTTAAAGGTATTTTATATTTATTCTACCAAATCTAATTTAGGGAGGATTTTATTGTAGAAACTTAAATGACCTTCAAAATAAAAAAGAATCGATAAAAATGTTAACAATAAGCCAATATATCGTATTAGTATAAGAACATACTCCTTTTTTGGAAGTTGGTTAAAAGGCAATGTATTACAGAGCAAACGAACGCGCAGCCAAGCGGCAACTGCTGTCGATGCAGTTGGACCGCCAGCAGGCGCTGAACGCGCTCACACATGAGGAATTGATGCACTTTGCCAGGGAACTCGGCAATGAACTTCGAAGGAAGAAAGGTACCTTAATTTTCACTATATTTTAATTTAATTAAATTATTTGTTCTACTTCTTACAGATTTTTTAGTTTATTTATTTAGATATGAGATATCCACACTAAACTAAAATTGCCAATATTTCTAGACGAGCTGGCTTTTTTGCCGTATAAACAACATGTGATTTACTGTTTGTGAAGTTTTTTACATCCCCATAATAATTTAGTAAATAATTAATGCCCTTTTCTAAGCTTTCAAGAGCATTTATTAACTTAGCGGTTCACTCAAAGTGATTTTGATTTCAGTTGCTCCTAAATTTATAAGTGAACGTGAAATGAAGAAGCATTCTGAAAAAATCTACAAGTCACTGCCAGAAGTTGTGCGCAAAAAGGAGGAGATAAAGAAAGCGAATATAAAAAAAACTAATTTGCTTATGGCAAATATATTTAAAAAGGTAAGCGATATCGTATCTGGCAATACTAATAGCTATGCAGCTGTAAGTATGACAAGTAATAAGAATCCAATATAAAATAATTATAATGTTACATTTTAAATAAAACTATCTTTTCGGATTTTTCGCGGATTTATTTAGATTTATACTTCACGACGTTTCAAATGTTTTACAGCAATCATGGTCACGGAAGAGCCAAGTTTTTAGATGTCTCAAAGGTATTATATAGTTGTTACAGACAGCCTACCCACAAAATGAATGACTACTTCGGACACTATCAATAAGAAATATTTTAACGTATTAAATATAAAATTTAATAAATGATAAAATTCAGGGGCTTATTACTTACAGATAAAGAAACAATAATCCGCGGTCAAAAAAAATTTATCGCGATTTTTCTATATATATAATTATGCATTAGTTAATTAACGATTTTTTCCTACTTGAACATGAAATTGCAAATGTGATAATTGTTAATTAACAAATCTTGGTAGCTTACGAATAAATAACAAATCAATGGTTTGCGCCAGAGCACCCGATTTAGGCAGTATTTTCATTCGTCTGAAAAAATTATAAATATTGGCCCTACAGTTCTGGGAGTTGAGACTTGTTAGGAAATTCCTTTCTCTTTTTGAATCTTTTTTTAGATCTGAAAAATCTCCATTAGTTTTTGAGATATTTGCAAAAACTAAAACCCCTTTTCTATTTTTAGTTAATTGCTTATAACTTTTGCAATTTTTGCAAGCGGAACTTAATTTTTTTCGAAAATCATCATTCCGAATCGAATGACACCTCGTTCACATTTTTCTGAGACTGCTGAAAAAAGTTGACCTAAAAGGCACTTATTGACTAGACTATGATGTTAAATTTTATTAAAACAACTTCTTATAATTTAAATTCACATACGTAATATTGTTTACATTATTTTTTTTTAAATTGAAGATGACATATTCTATTATCGCACATGCGGAGTTATAAATCGAGATATTAATTACCTATTTTTAATTATTTTCCAGAATCTCCAGAAGAAAACCCTCCAAGGCGCTGTCAATTTATCTAATTATAATACAGTTGTAAAAATTTGACAAAAAAGTAAATTTTTCATTGTGTTTAGTGAAAGTTGTGTTCAATGATTGTTAATAATTATTTTTGTTATGACGTCATTGTTTTGTACATGAAATGAATTTAAGTATTATGTAATGTTTAATGTTTCCTCTATTTCAAATATTAAATAAATTATATTTTGTATGTCTATGAGTCTTATTTTAAATTAGGATGATAAGTTATCAGCATAGCATTGTATTTTACTAATACATATATTAATTACTAGCAGTGCCCCGCGGTTTCACCCGCGTTCAATTTGATTATACATGTTTCATATAACTATCCTCTACACGATGAGTATTTGACCAGTTTCTGAGCTGAAACATAAACATCAGTCTTACAATATTGTATAGAGGTCTACCCGATTTGTTGACATATAAATGTCATAATGGTTACTGATCCACTCCCTTGGGTAGTAGCATGATGTTATAGCCTATAGCCCTCAATAAACGGGCTATCTAATGCAAAAAGAGATATTCAAATCAGATTAGTAGTTTTTGATATTAGAACGTTAAACAAACGAACTGGCTTTTTATAGTATTAGTGTAGATTAAGAGAAGCATAAGCACAAGTGTTGTATAATATATGTAGGTATTTGCGTTTGTGAATGGTTTCATTTGAAAAAAAAAAAGATTCCGACGAATGGAGAACCTGTTCCTTTATGAAGAAGTCGGTTGAATTTTTTTTATGTTGATTTATAAATAAATATGTTGGGACATTAACACACAGCACCATCTACTTCCATGGTAAGCTACGAGCAGCGCTGGATTTACACTAGGGGCACTCGGAGCTAGTGCCCAGGGCGGCAAAACTCAGAGGGTAAAGAAAAAACTATCGAAATGTTATCGAAAATGCTTTTTGTATTTTTCAAAAAAAGAATAATAAAAAAAATACTAGTAGGTACATTTTTCGAAAAATTGAAAACATTTCTAAATCATATTTTGGCATTTATCAAAAAATAATTATTAAAAGAAATTAAACTTTATCCATTTTATGCAAAACTTCGATAGTGAGGCGGCATTTTTTAAAGTGCCCAGGGGCGGCGCCAATGTTGAATCCGGCACTGGCTACGAGACTTGTGTGGAAACTAGATAGTTGATACACTACACAATATAACTTTAAATACATACATATTATAAACTAGCGACTCACCCTCGCTTCGCTCGGGTTCGCCCTTGGCTTGCTTCACAGTGCAAACTTTCATCCCCATTTTCACCACCTTACGGGATGATTTCCGGGATAAAAAGTATTCTATGTCCTTCTTAGAGTTTCAAACTATCTTTTTACCAAATTTCATCTAAATCGGTTCAGTAGATTCAGAGATTATCAACATCACAATTCACAAAATTTATCTCTTTAAAATATTATTATAGATATAAACTCCCAAGACTGGATTACAAGCATTCGTGTTCATCACATAAATGAATTCCTCCAGCGGTACTCGAGTCTGGAACCCGCGACCGCTGGCACACAAGTAGGGTCACTACAAACTGAGCCAAACATATAAGAAAGTAATAACCGGCAAATACTTTTAAGCGAACAATGTTCATTAAGGAATCAACAATTCTTTCTATTATCTAATTAGAATGTTATAGATAATAATCTAAACTACAAAACATAGGTGTGATAAAATGGAAATACTGAAAATTGGCCAAATTGATGGAGCCAAATGAGGCCTATCTATTACACCGTTGCTGTATAAAAAAAAGGCCTTAACCATCTATCATATCTAAGATGAAAGAAGCTCAATTAACAACCATGCTTTAGATTTAATATATACAAAGATAATGATATCATTTTGAATTGGTACCGTTTTGATTTTCTTAGTAATTGTCCGCTTTGCTTATGTTAATGTTTGACTTTTAATATATATTTCGGTATTTCGCTTATAAATTAAATATTTGGATTAAATAAAAACCAAATGTTAAAACAAAAATTGTAACGTCTTTTGTCTTTTAGGCGGAAAAAACTATTTATGTAAATTAAAAAAAAGTAAATTTAAGAAAAAAAAGTGAAGAGTGTGTGGTCCACACAGGTAGGCTATATATTTTTTGAATTCCACAGTGTGAAATTCAAAAAATATATAGGCTACGACGATCTTTGTTAATTGGTCAAAGTCCCATACCGATACGTTCAGTACCTACCTACCTACTTTTTACGTGAATCTAGCGTGACAAAAAAAAAATCTTTAAATTATATAGAAGAACATATTCAATACAAATATTATAAGACTCGTTAGGGTATTTGGATAGTTATTTTAGTATGTGTTAATAGAACGCCGTATTGCATTAGTAAAGACAGTTAAAATTTTATTTTGTTCGAATCAAATTACACATAATAAATCAACTGTGTAACGAAACGCTATATTGACAAACTGACAACTTGACATGACATCTGACAAGTAAAATTGTGAATAGTGTTCGGTCGATCGAATGTTTTGCTTATTTCAGAGTTAGAAAATGGTTTATTTTCTAAGAAAATAAGCAAAAAAATGGATGAAAACGAGTTTTTCAAGCAGACAGTGCAACATTTAGCACGATGTCTGTCCTGTATAAATCCTACACCCTGGGAAAAAGTAAGTTGTAAAACATCGATTGTAATCTTGTTTATTATTTGTTGGCATTACGAAATAGCACTAACCTCCTAATTTTACATTAATTCATACACTCTATACTTGAATTAAAACTATCCCACGAAACGATGAACGAAACGATCCAATATTTTTCAGTTTTTGAATCTGAATATGACCTCATCAAATGACATAAGCCTCGTTATCGTTACCCTATTCTTCAGGGTCACTTTTCCTGCCACTAACTTTTGGAACTCAATTTCAATAAAAATAAACCCATCAAATTGAATTACAATGTTGTTGCAAAAAAGGCAAAGATTTATTTTTTACAAGACATGTTTTACAAATAAATCTGATAATTTTTTCTACCATTTTTTAGGTAAACACATTATTTATGTTATGCCCACAAGCCAGCTCTTCATTTGTAGTGACACCTCGCAGTCAAGAAGCAAGCATTGCATTAGGACTGTATTTTTTACAAAGTGGTCTCCAACACCAAGATAAACTTTTACCATACTTCCTGAAAGTTTTGAAATGCCTCACAAATGCACAGTTTGAAGAGCCTATGTATAAGATCAAAAATAATGATCGTAAGTATAAAATATTTATAATAGTTGTTATTTTTTTGGTTTTAGATGCAAAATTTTAAAGTATTTACTATTTATGGTTCTGTACACTAAAAGTAAAAAAAATAAATAAAAACCTATTAATAAACTTGTGTGCCTGTCAGTCTGTCTGTCATTCTCAATTTTGTCTGAATTTATTTGATGCAAAAATTTGGTATATTTGTTGAAATTTGGTAATTATATGGAGGACCAATTATATGAAGACCAACATTATTTTTAGGGGGTACATTATTATATTAAAAATGTACAGTTAAAAAAACTGTTTAAAGAATTAAAAGTTCAACTGCTGGAAAAATTGAAATAAAAAAATTAAAGATATAAAGCTACAGTCAAACAAAAAAAATATAATGCAAATTCAAAATTATTAATTTAACTATTCCTTTAAAATCAGAGTACAGTATGAAATTTTATTTAAAAATCTGTTCAATAATTTTTCCAATGATTACATATTTAACAGATTGCAAAAATACATATTAGGATGTTGTGAAAGGGCAATGAAGATGTGTAACTAAATAATACATTATATTGATTTCAAACTATTTATTTATTTTATTACAATTTTGGTTCATCAGCAAAAATTTCATATTAGTACTTTCCTGAAAAAGATTTTTTTATTATAAATTTTAAATGCAATTCAACTATAGATATACAATACACAATTACTATTGAAAAATGGGGTAACAGAATGGTGTAAATAATTTAATTACATGTTCATATCTATTGGCTCCATCAAATAAAAAAACAAACATTTCCAGTTTATTTTCCACCTCCTGCACCTCCATTTGCACCAGCTCCAAATCCACCTAGAATTATCCAAATAGACAATATATTAAAATCATATACATATATAAATTACAAGTAACTCACCCTCGCTACTAATCTGAGGGTTCGTCCCTAGTTACGTTTTAACGCTTAGTATAGATTTCTCAGGGAAGAGATATTTTCCCGTAGTAAAAAGTATCCTATATGTTTACCCGGATAACCAGCTCTCATCATACCAAATTTCATCAAAATCTGTCCAGTGGTTTTCTCGTGATGTGGTCACAGACAGACAGACAGACAGAAATTCTAAAAACTATAGATTCGATCTCTGTATCCATAATAATGACTATTTCAATAAGATTTTCCAAAGAAAATATTTTGTTGATTATTGATTTTATCAATCTTCTATATAAATAAAAATTAATGTTTGTATGTTTGTCCTCTATGCATTCCTAAACCATTGATTCGATTGTAATAAAACTCTGGTGGGTTTCTCAGTATATGCCTATGAAGGTTCTTAGTGCAAAAAAAAAAGAATTTTTCTTTGGATATTTATCTTTTATGCATTCCTAAATCATTCAAGCTTAGGGACAGATCTGAGCGAAGTGAAGTTAAATCTCTAGTTATGTAATAAATATTAGTAAAAACTTATGTTATATATTATAGAAAAATGATAATAAACAATAGTTTTAAGAAAAATTAGAAATCTTATTAGCTTATATTAATTATAAAAATATTTTTACCGCTTGCACCTGCACTACCACTTGGACCACCTGCTGTAACAAATAAAGAAGAAAAGCTTTAGATTATTCTTAAACGAAACTGCTTCTAGGCACAATAAATGGTTCTCTTACAAATTCTCGTGTTATTATAACAGAATAATATTTAAATTATTACATACCGCCAGCACCACCACTAGCTCCACCACCAGCTTGGAATCCTCCTGCAATAAATATTAGCAATTTTAGAGTTCTCAGAAGACAGAAACGGAACCCTTATAATATCGTAATGTTTGTTTGTCTGTATGTTACAAATATTTTACTTGAGTTTTGGAGCTATATTGCTGAATTTTTAAAAGCAGATGTGTCAGAAACAATGATATGCGCTCCACACATGTAATAATGTATGCTAAGGATGCATCTGGCTAGATCTTTAAAATTGAGATGTTTATTTTTGCAGTTGATAAAATTGATATTTTAGAATAGTAAATATTTTATTTTTAATATAACAAATTATGTATGATCAAAACCTGAAATAAAAAAAAATATAGTTTCATGCTATGGATCCCTTGATGTGCAACTCGTACTTGCATACTTGATTATGTTAATTTATATTATTAAAAATTTTAATTTATTTAAAATTAAACACCAATGTTTTCTCGCATATTAAATCTTGGTTTGCTTGCTATATAACACAACCCTGATAAACCGAATCCTGCATTTCGTAGTGGTAACGATAAATGTTTTAGTATCAAGGAATTTTGAATAAATATGTGTTGTCGCTCGGGTTTGTCCCTAGATATGTTTTAATTATTAGGATGGAAAAGATAGACTATATATTATATTACTGCTCCGTTTCCCTTGAGTAGTAGCATTATGATATATAGCATATAGCCTTCCTCAATAAACGGGCTATCAAATGCAAAAAGGATTTTTCAAATTGGATTAGTAATTCCTGAGAACCGCGTTAAAAAGACGACAAACAAACTCTGTCTCTTTATAATATTAGTATAGATACCACTAAATCCACCATCTGGACCTCCACCTCCTGTAAAAAAAAATATTCAAATAAATTTCAATAAATATTATATTCAAAAAACTCTATATTTAAAAATATGAATGGATTAAGAATAAGTCAGGTTAATTTTTCATCTGTTTGAATTTTAAGGATTTTGAGCTTATTTTAATTTATTGCTTTTCACATAGTCAGAATAAGTTATGAATTGTTTTTATTGTTTAAACTTACCTCCTTGTGGGGTTGGAGTTTGTAGAGTCTGTAATAGAGGAAAAAATAATTTATATTAGTTAGGTATACCTGGTTCATTGCTAGTATTTAGAATTTTAATTTTGTTTAAACTTTAATTTTAAAAAATCTGAATTGTTTTATTCTGTTTGTATAACAATACTTCATTATAATTAAAAAAAAGTATAATAAATTTTCATTTTAATAGAACAATAGACCATTAAAATTCAAGTGCAAGTAGATTAACTATGTGTTTAAATAACGTTACGTGTACTTACATTGCCCACCAACATCATTGCAACAATTGTCACACAGATAATTTTAAACATTGTAATAATAGAGTGTACTAGTGCTCTTCAAGTCAAAGCTGAAACGTCTATAAATCTTACCAGCCTCCATATCACGTATATATACTTAATATGTAATTATTACAGTGATATTTACACTCGAAACATGAAGTGGGGGAGGAAATAAACAATTTTCGTTTCAATTTACTCTATTCCATAAGTTTTTTTACCTTAGCTTTAACACATCGTACTAAAAACTATTATTATATGCGCAGTTGAACATGTTAAAAAGCAATCGTATTTATAATAATTATGAAATTTTATAGATATTTTCGATGATAAAGCACGAAAGGTTTTGTGAGAGATGTTATGCTGTGAATATTTTTTTTTTAAATTATATTCATATTGTAGGTGTAATATACATATATAGTAGTAGTATAGTATTCAGCCCTTTTTAACGTCCCACTGCTGAGCAGGGGCCTCCCTTCAATAGGATGGGATTCTGGCCATAGTCCGCCATGTCTTTCGAAAACTTGCTAGGTTCTCTCAGATATGCAGGTTTCCTCACGATGCTTTCCTTCACCGTAAGGCAGGTGGTAATCATGTTAGAAATGATTCGCACATGAAAATATCAAATGTGCAAGAATCGGGATTTGAACCCGGTTCAATCGGTTTTTCAAGCGATCGCGTTACCACTGGGCTACCACTGCCTAATAAACATATATGTAATAAATTATTTACATCTTACTTAAAGGAGATAATAAAATAGTTTTCATATAGTTTGACGAGATTTTTATCCTAAATGTACGTAAGAAAGATACTGTACTGGCTATATCCACTCATATGACCACTCTTGCGGCTTTTGGAACGTAATGTCTATTAGAAATATTAATTTGCCTGATCCAAGATAGTCGTTACAAATCATTTTTACCCAGTAAAAATCTTTAATTGACTGTAATTCATGAGTTCATATAGGACTAAATCACCTCAATAAATTCCATTTAAGAATTAAGAGTCATCTTATGTCATAATTTTCCTCGACTGACGATGACGGACGGGTTTATTAAAATTAAAACAAATTTGATTTAACGATATTACGTAAATACTCGCGCGAACTTCATAAACGCAAATCACTTTTTTTAAAGACGCCAATTTAAAATGCCTTGTTATAACACAATGACAATAATTATTATGTAATTTATTTTTATACAACCGGATAGACGACCGTGTAAATTATTGTTTTTATACTTTATCGCACTATTTTCATTGTCATCTTTTTTAAAATGTCCAGATGTTAAGTGAAAATAAAAAAGACTAAGTTTTAAATTTCTCTTTTTGCAGTAAACAAAATCTATCCCACGGGAACTGCATATTTTTCCGTGATAAAAAGTAACCTATGTGCTATTTCAGACTATAATCTATCTTTGTGCCAAATTTTATCCAGATCTGTTCAGCCTGGCGTGATTGAGTAACAAACATCCATCCATCCAAACTGTCGCATTTTTATAGTTTATACATATAATAAAATTGTAACTAAGCCGAATCTGTAGATTAAATATATTTTGGAAAATCTTATTGAAATAAACGTTATTATCGATACAGAGGCCGAATCTATAGTATTTAGAATTGTTGTCTGTCCGTCCGTCCGTCCGTTCGTCCGCCTGTCTGTCTGTTACCGCATCACAGAAAAAACACTGGAGGGATTTTGATCAAACTTGATACGGTGATAGTTGGTTACATATAACATATAGGATACTTTTTACCGCGGAAAAATGTCTCATATCTAAGAAAAAATACAAAAACTGCAATGTAAAAGTATACTAATTTGTAAAACCTAGGAACTTGGTTTTTGCTCATCTGAACGCGGGCGGAGTTGCGGGCAATGCTAGTAGTAAATAAATAAACAATATGTTGGGACATTCTCACACAGCACCATATAGTTCCATGGTACCTCAGCTACGAGGCTTGTGTTATGGATACCAGATAGTTGATATACTACACATATATAACTTTAAATACATACATATTATAAATATAAACACCCCCGACTGGAGTACAAACATTTGTGCTCATCACACAAATGAATGACCCCAGCGGGACTCGAACCCGCGACCGCTGGCACAGCAGTAGCCCTACACTACAATCTGAGCCAAACATGTCGTCGAAGTCGAGTAGTAAGATTAACTATCTAGAAATAATAGGTCTGTATCGAATTCCAGGTATTCCAATGTCGGAAAAATTTAGCTTCTGTCTTAACACGCTGCTTTCCGATGTTGCTGCAAAGCAATCATCATTGCGGGAGGAGATCGTAACAGCACAAATAGAACTTATGTCTAATCTCACAAAGGTTATTATAAATTGCCATGAAAACAGAGATTACAACAGTCTATCTAAGGTCCAGTTATGCAAAAGTACGGTGCCAATTCTCATCGGACTGGCCAGATCTATGGGTCGATATGTAACCGTCGAGCCACCTCTGCTATGCCGTCTCTTTCCACAGCCCAGCAGTCCTGTGAAAACGAAGGAACCAGAGCCTAATTTTGAATATTCAACTTTGGATAAGAAGAGAAAGTTTAACCAGTTCCGGCCGATAATACCAAGGTCTTTATCAGGAAACCTCAATCCTAATATAGAACATATAGTAGAAAATGGTAGTGATACAGTAGATAGTGTCGGTGGAACTCTAAAGCGTGGTTCCTTGCAAAGTTACAGCTCCGTCCCATACGATCCGACGACTTACTTCTTCCACAAGTTTGGCTCGAGTTACAACCAGTTTCCATATATGAGATTTTCGGAGTCACCGGAAAAAAGGATAAATGTGCAGTTTTATGTGACATACCTACAGTCAATATTGTCGTTGGCGAAGAAGCTGTTGACCAAAGAGTTGTTAGCGTTTTTAGATGAGGAGGCTGAAGACATTTTTGCATCTGGACAAATACAGGTACTTGTTACTTTAAAATATTCAAACTTAATACTGTATTAGTAAATTATCCTAAATTATAATGCTTTTTATTTTTAATTGCAGGTGTTCCCATATAAATCTTTCTCGGAGACTCTGAATTTAGTAATGGTAACACTCTTACGAGATATTTTACAGCATCAAAAAGATTTGCCAGGACCATTCACTAAAGATGTGCAAGTAAGTTGCTATTATGTACATTAAAAATATAATAATTTGTAAATAGTAATATAACAATATAAAATATATAATAGTATTTTTGTGACTTTAGTTCTATTATACATATATAATATATATATTTGACTGTTAAATTCATTTTAGTGTAATTAATAGCTATTCTTTAAATGTTAATTAGACCTCTTAATTAGACCAAACAATTTTACTAAAAATTGCTAAATGAAGACTTTCAGCACGTTGTCACTGCACCAAGCTGTTTCTATTTATATTTAGGTATATTTCTTGCCTTTACAAAGAACTTGTTTTTTTTTGTATTTTATGTCTTACCTTTACAAATGACTTATATATTTTTTATTTTAATTTAATTTATCTATATGAAAACGATTTTATTTAATTTAGTTTATTTATTTTATTGTCCCAACAACTTGAGGAGATGTATCTCGTACAGGTAATGCGGACCTGTACCATGTATGTATAAGTGTTTTAGTATGCGTACTTTAAAACCTCTTTTGTATATAATAGTGTTTCACGATTAATTATTAATTATGTATGTATGTACTTTTGAGGGTGATTCTTAATTTTCTGAAAGGATATTTAAAATTCTTACTAGTTTCTTTGATATACTATATCTATTAAATTGGGACTAAAAAAATTCAAGAAATACCCTCTGATATTTTTTTTTATTTCTTAGTTGTTTTTTGAAGTGTAATTCTTTAAATAAATTTTGAAATAGTATAGTGTTCGCTATTCGTGATCGTCTAAATAGTTTTGCCTATGATTTTCTATAGAGCATCAATAAATTAATGCTATATTAGCGCTGTGAGATTAGTTTTTTGTTATAAAATAAGAATTATTGTTTGAATGATGCTTAAGTTTAGAAAATGTTACCGTTAAACTAAAACTATATTAATCTATCTACAGGAATTTGTAAAATGTCTGTTTTTGAGCGGTCAAACAGAACTGCAGAGTCGACATCACGACGCCTCAGAAAAGGAGGATAGAGAAAGTAATTTTGCTACTGTGAATAAGTTCAAAGTGAACGTTATGGCCAATTCTGCATGCGTCGATTTACTAGTATGGGCTATTGGAGATGAGACAGGTAAATTGGACGTTATGTTTATACGAATAGAGTTCAAATTTAAATTTAAGCCTCATAGCTTATCATGTTTTAATATTAGCTAAATTTTATAATTAATTAATAAATCTGTTATGATAATATTTAAAAAGATCTTGTTAAGTCTTTTGTTTATCTTATTTACTTTTTATTTTTGGACGTATTTATGTAATTTATTTTTATATAATGTATAGTTGGTAATGATTTTCCAGTGGACGAAGATTATGACGTGCCAGCTCTTATAAACGCTCTAACAATATTAATAGGTATTATTAAATGTAAGGTGTGAGAGTTACCCTTTGACTAACATGGCCGAAACCGTTTAACATGAAAATATTATTTCTCCTGTAACTACATGTTTAGGATGTACAATAATTTTTACTTATATATTTATATAAATATAAACTATATAAGATACTTATTATTTGAATTAAGTTTTATTATTATTTTTGACGTAGAATTTTAAAATTAAAACGTATTTAGGTAGATGGTTTTTTACTAACTAAATAATAATTTTTTAATTTCAGGTGACAATTTAAAGTTGTTAGACATGATTTTGACATTTGATATTTTTTGCATGTATTGAAAGTATAAAATAAAAAAATATATAGGGAATATTTTTGAATGTTTTAATTTTAGGAGCTGACTCTCTTTGCGGGAGGTTGACGGAGAAAATTAATTCGAATCACAATCATAAGTTGATATTGGCACATATGCCTTTACTTATGGTTTGTCTAGAAGTAAGTATTGGAAGTTTTCAATTTTATTTGATTTTTTTAAATATTTTCATAGCATTAAAGTAATAGTCTTTGTAGCTAAAAATTGTAAAATTTGTTTTGTTAACATAATTTTAAAACTAGCGTCTGACCCTCGCTCTGCTCGAGTTCATCCCTCAGATGAGATATTTTTCCGCGGTAAAAAGTATCCTATATGTTGACCCGGATAACCAGCTATCATCATACCAATTTTCATAAAAATCTGTCCAGTGGTTTTTGTCGTTATGCATTCTCAGACAGACAGACACAGTTAAAAAATTTAAAAACTATTGATTCGGCCTCTGTATCGATAATAATGACTATTTCAATAAGATTTTCCAAAAAATATTTAATGTATAGATTCGACTCAGTTAGAATTTTATGATATGTATACATATAGATTAGTAAATAAAGTTATGCAATAATTATATACTCATAAATTGAGTTATGAATATTTTTAATGAAAAAATATTATTATAGGGTCTAGGAAAATTAGCAACGAAATTCCCAACGATAGCGAACACATCGATATATTGTCTGCGAGACTTTCTCGTGACGCCATCGCCCATACTGTTCAAGTTGCACAAACTAGAGCTGGAAAAAAGCGGGAAAGATCACATAAAAGGCAATGGTATGTGAAGTTTTAAATTAAAAAGTGTACAGATTATATAAATAATTATGAAATAAAACAAACAGATTATATAAATAGTCAAATAAAAAATTGAATTTTGTTGGTCTTGAGATAAAGAAAATGGCTCTGCTGCCTTTTTTTGACGTTTGATAACTCTACGGTTATTATCTAACGTGAATAAAATAACTGCAGGGTTAAATACCTAACGCCAAAAATAATCGAATGTTAGGGATATTTTACTTAATCCAAAAGTTTAAGGATATAGTATTATTATTTATTTTAGTCATGGTAATATTTCCTATCGACAATTTTACATTCATTCGTTTAATTTTAATTTTTAATGTTCATCGGGAGTGAGTGGTCTGAACAGTCGGTCTCTTTTGGAAGCCCAAAATTGCTTCCGCTATTAAAGTGGACCATTATTTAAAATTACCTTTCGCTGTTTGGCCCCACTGGCGTAGTTTATTGATGTCTAATTATTTTTTTAATTAACTTTTTTTGGTGTTTCTCAATAATTAGGCTATAAAATTCAATTTTTTTTAAATTGGCGTGTTAGTTTTAGAGATTAGTGTCCCAAACAAACAAAAGCAGTCCATTCAGCTTTATAATAATGCTAGCGACTTACCATCGCTTCGCTCGGGTGCGTTTCTATGGTACGCTTTAATTTTTGTGAGCGGAACCCTAATTCTTTTTCTAAAATAAAAGTAGTAAGGTACTCCTTATAACATCAGCTATCTATCTGCCAGTGAAAGTTTTAAAATCGGTTCTGCTGTTTCAAAGATTAGCCGGAACAAACAGACAGACAGACAAAAATTTTAAAAGTTGCGTTTTTTTATAAAAACCTTATATAATTTCATATGCATTTACTAAAAAGCTTTTATTTTGATATTACAAACAGACACTTCAGTTTTATTTATCTGTATAAATTATAATAATATTAAATTATCATTTTAACTGAACAGTACAAGGAAAAGAACACCAGAACCTAACAGAAACAGGTGCGCCAATAAAATCTACGCCCTTCGAGAAGCTTCGAGACGCAGCCATAGAGAATCTATGCGTGGCGTTAGAGGCCGCGCTGACGGTTGACCCGTTCTGTGTGCCCGCGCTAGTTGGATCCGTTAGCAATAGACTCTTTACTGCTGAGACTAGTGATAGGTAAGGAATATATGTAATTAAATTGTAATGTCTGTGCACTTTGAGAAGCTTCGAAGGCCTTTATAGAGTACTTAGGGACTTACCGCCCGCTTCGCTTGGATTCGACCCTAGGTTGCTTCCCTATGATTTCTGGGATAAAATGTATCCTATGCCCTTTCTAGGGTCTCAAACTATCTTCTTATCAAATTTCGCCTAAATCGGTTCAGTAGATCCAGAAATTACTCCCTACAACCTCACAAACTTACAAACTTTAACCTCGTTATAATATTAGTATCGATTAAATGTTACCATTCGTCAAAATGAATTAAATGAGCCAAAAGTGGAAGCTTTTAAAAGTATTTCTTTTAGAGCTCCGTTCCTGGACATATTCACCCGCTGGCTCTATTAGCCGAATAGTGTAAAATGTTTGTACTGCTATCCATGTTTCACATATGGCTATGTAGTTCAAAATTATTACTCTAATTTGTTTACATAATTAGGTACAAGTGAAGTTTATAAAAACGAGGCAAAAATGGTCTAGAGAAGTCAGGTTTAGAGAATTAAATGAAAATAAACTGTTTTTATTTGATTTGTTGCAGCGAATCTTCATTAATAAGTACGAACATAGTGATCATGTTGGGGCACGTTGCAGTCGCTCTGAAGGACATGCCAAAAACTACGGATACCATACTTCAGTTTTTCCAACAACGGTAAACATTTTTGAATCGTGTCTTACATATTTATTTTTATTTAAAATAAAGTACATCGTAATGTTAAATCATTTCAAATCAATAATTTGACCCTTTGGAGTTTAGTTTTTTTTTATTTATTTTTTTGAATATGCTTGAAGAATTATTTATTATGTTTTTACTACAAGTTTTTAATTAAATGTACTTTAGCTTATTAATTCGTATATGAACTCTAACATTAAAGGGCTGTGCATATAAGATAAATAGTCTCCGCGATCTCTCTCTCTCTCACACACATATGTACTTGTCACTCCCACATCTCCCCCAGACTATGCCGGGCGCCGTCCTCGCTCGACACGCTGATAGTGGACCAGCTGGGCTGCATGGCGCTGGCCAGCCCCGAGGGCCCCGCGCACGACGAGATCATGCGCATGTTCACCGTCATCACGGTTGAGGCGGCCAGCGCCGCCTACCAGCATACTGATGATAGGAAGCAGTATCGGTATGTGTGTTGTGTTTTTTATATACACATTAGGTTGGAGCGAAAAAAAAAATTTTTTTCCTTAGCTTGGGGGTAGAATTTGTAGCAAAAAAATTTTTTTACTCAATATACATATATAAGTTGCCCACTGGTTTTCAAAATAATTAATTTATATTTTTAGTTTGAATGTTTTTTTTCGAATGATCATCTTTGAAAACATTCAAGAATTGACGAATATAGTCATTTTCTACTCAACAAATAATACAAAAAAAAAGTTTTTTAAAGTTCTAATAATTATTATATAAAATATTACAGTGAAAGTTTTTTTATAAGCTACAAATTCTACCCCCAAGCTAAGAAAAAAAAACATTTTTTTCGATCCACCCTAATACACACGTGTGCAACATACCAGGCACGTGTCGGGCGCGGTGCTGAACGCGCTCGCGAACATAGCGGCGAACGTGCGCGGCACGCCGGCGCGCCACGAGTTGCTCACGCGCCTGCTGGAGCTGTTCGTACAGCTGGGGCTGGGCGGCGAGCGCGCCACCGACCGCTCGCCCGCGCCCGTGCTCAAGGCGTCCGGCAGCGCGGGCAACCTGGGCGTGCTCATACCGGTTATTGCGGTGGGTGCTTGCCTTTTGATACTTTCTTACTATTATTATATTTTATCTATACACTAGCGGCTCACCCTCCCTTCGCTCGGTTTCGCCTCTAGACAAACAAAAACAAACCTACCCCACGGGAACCATTTTTTTCAGGATGAAAAGTATCTAAAATGTTGATTGGTCCAACACTTTCGGAGATTAGCCCGTACAAACAGACAAAGAAACAAAAAATTTGAAAAAAATCTGGATTTGTTCTATTTCTCTTCTTACATCCCCTGACTCGGTTTTTAGCTTTAGAAATTTCTGATGTAAGGGATATGAAACTCATCATACCTATATATATGATGGCTATATATATACTATATAGTCTATCTATTTCATAACGTTAAAACGTACGAACGTTAAAACGTATCTAAGGACGAACCCAAGCGAAGCGAGGGTGAGTCGCTAGTTTCTTAATATCCTCATCAGAATGTTCTTTAGTATAATACAAATTAAGCTATAGTAAAAATCTTCATGTTTATTTCAACAGGTATTAGTCAAAAGGTTACCTCCAATAAAAAACCCAAAACCTAGACTCCACAAGCTTTTCAAGGACTTTTGGTTATACTGCGTTGTGATGGGTTTCACAGCGGCTGAATCAGGTAAATATAAAAAATATATATTGTATTTATGAAATTCTTCTTATTTAAATGTACCCACAATTAAATCGTTCCAAAATTTATTTATTTATTTTATAGAGATAATACACGAATAATTTATTAATACATTAATTTACACATGTAAAGTACGTGTAAAATATTAAATAACATAATATGTAATAGATATTAATAAAAATCATATTTATGCTTCATTTGTGATTTTTATGGGTTTTTTAAATGCATGCACTATTCTAAGGAAGTTCATTTAATTGTTATGTTATCGATAATTTGTTGAGTGATTAATCGATAATCGATAAAATTAAAATGTGAGTGTTAAAAATAAAAGGCGTTCAAATGAATAGGTTGTTAAATATAAATGATCAATAATTTTTAAAACAAAATTAACGTTCTCATAATATACATAATAGTTTTAAGTCTTTTTAAATATGATCGAGAACAAGTCTAGGAGAATGCAGTGATTCTCAAAGTTTGTTTTAAATTAATAATTATTCTTATACATTAATCCGGTAGTATTATAATGCGTTGCCACTTTGTTATTCACTGTATTATTTGATGGTTATAAAGGCATTTTTTTTATTACATTATTAAATAATTAAAATAAATCGATTTTCGTTATACATATTGATATTTATTTCAAGTGTTCTTCATCAAAAATATTTAATTACTTTTATAGAAAATGCCTAACTAAATAATTAAAAAGCCGTTTTTCGTTTCATTTAATTTTTCTTTCTCGCTCGGTTAAATAGACCATAAGGGTTAAACTTAACAATGAAGATGAAAATAAAAGAATTTTTATTGTAAGCTACTTTTATGTATATACATGTACGTGTATTACCTCTATAATTGTCTATGGATCCCATTAAGCACTTCCTCTGATATTTCACATGAATTGTGCTGTTAATAGTTGTATTTAAACATTCTATTGTCTCTTCTTCTATGGCGACGCGTAGCCATGCGAAAGCGTGAGTAAAGTTGCTTCTAGAACGTTCTTAGATGTTATGTCGTTTGGTTTTGTATGAGAGTTTTATTTTGATATGGTGATGTATATATTTTTTTATATAAAATAGTAAATCTATTTAAATATAAAAACTATTTTAACTATATCCATTGTATATACGAAAAATTTAGAGAATATTTGAAAAATGACTATCGTGAAATGAGGTTTAATTAATTTAATTGTGTAATTCTTAATAATATATAAGCTTTATTTTTCTGTTTTGTATTATTCTTACATAAAAATCGTGTGAATATTAAACATTCGCTATACATTATTTAACTATATTAACATTCATTTGTTTAAACTTAGTAATTTTCCACATCGTAACTGTTTTTTCCAATAGGGAATAACTCGGAACTAAATGATTTTTATTTTTTTTGTAAAGTAATAAGAAAGTTCTTTATTAAAATCACATACATATACGTCATCATATAAAAATTTTGCTAAGATTTGTGCATACGATGATTTCGTGTAAATACATATATGTCTGAAGTGTAGTCTTGGTTTATTTTTCAATGTTTTCCGTTTTGTCCTGTAGAGTGCGTTGTTAGCGAATATGTAGTTTATTTTGTAGGAGTGATATCCGATTGATTTTGCTTTAAACATACATACATACATTTGTGACGTCATAGAATATATTGATGCTGATATAGTTTTGTGTTTTTGTGATATATAATAAAATGTACAGTGTTTGTGTGCTGGATTTTAAAATATTCCTTCAAAGAAAGGTATATAAGATGGTGTTTTGCTTTGGAAAGTATTTAGTCATTATAATGCTAGAGAATATTTCATTTTCATAGGTCGGATATCTAATATAATAAACTAAATGTTCTCCAGGATTATGGCCGCAGGAATGGTATGGGGGGGTCAAAGAAATAGCGGTGAAATCGCCATATCTGGTGTCTCAGACGTCTTTACGTTCTGAAATGAGAGAGTATCACTACACGTCCGCTGTAAGGAACGATTCGGTCTCCATAAATGAGTTGCAGGAGCTAAAGACTCAAATTTTGAATCTTTTGGACCACCAGCCAGATGTCACTGTTATTGTGAATAAGTTAACTTTCGCACCCTGTATGTACTTGTTAAGTGTTTATTGGCTGGAGACGTTAAGGTAAGATTCAATTGTATGCACGTAATGAATAAATTAATGATAATGTTATAAATTTAAATTCGATTTTTTTGTTAATGTTGAATATTTTAAACAAAACTATTTCTACTTTTCGGATTTTGCCGCGTAAAAATCCGAAAAGATAGTTGTTTTTTTAAATGTCAAATATTCGCGTATATCTACGAAAGTATTAGAGTTGAATATGTTTGAAAAACGTCAAATTATAATACATATTTTCTTCTTAATTTTCCATGTTAATCGTTTTGAGAATTTTAGTACAGATGGTCTTAGTGGTATTTATGTTATTTTAATGAATGTATGACTAGACTACCGTATATAATGTTATTCTAAATGATTTTTTTTAATTAATTAATTATCTTTGAACATTTTCTATTTTGATCAGCTTATATTATAACAAGCGGACTTTAAATTTAGAGTCAGTAGATTTAATATTAATTTTTGTAATACAACACTTTTTTTTTAGAGTATGTAATTCACCAGAACCAAGTTTGCAGCCAATAATAGAATATCTAAGCGACACAGCGTTGCAAAAAGATAAGAGTGGTATGTGGCAATGTGTTTCCAGGTAAGTAACAAATGGACAAATACCCGATGATATCTATACATATAATAAAATTGTAACTGACCCGAATCTGTACGTTAAATATTTTTTGGAAAATCTTATTGAAATAAACATTATTATCGATACAGAGGCAAAATCTATAGTTTTTAGAATTTTTGTGTCTGTCCGTGACCGCTTCACGAAAAAACCACTGGACAGATTTTGATGAAATTTGGTATGATGATAGCTGGTTATCAACATATAGGATACTTTTTACCGCGGGAAAATATCTCATCTCTGAGCTGACAGTTAAATTCTATATGAGACCTAGCCTAATTATAATATATTTTCATAACATTACTAAGTTTTATGCATAGTGTAGATAAAATCGACTTAAGTAAAAAAAAATTACTTCAATGATAATTTTTGCTTAAAAAAGTCTTGTATTATACAAACATCACAGTACCCATATAATATAATGATTTTATTCCCTAGCGTTGGAGACAAAGTGTTCCAAAAGTTTCTAGATGTAATGTCGGAGAAAACCAAAGATGAATCCCGTGAAAGGGAACTAGAAGGGCATGCACAGTTCCTACTGGTCAATTTCAATCACATACACAAACAAATCAGAAGAGTTGCCGACAAATGGCTCGCTAGCCTCGTTGATAGATTCCCTCATTTACTGTGGAATTGTCGAGTGAGTAATATAAAAACAAACAAGTAATATAAAATGAAAAAAAAAACATAACAAACAAAAATGGATCATTTTGAAATGAAGTATAATATCAATCAGTCAATCAATGAATCTATCAATCAATCAATTAATTTTATTGAAATAGACTTTTACAAGCACTTTTGAATTTTTACATTTTGTTAATGCCTCCACGACCGCGGACACGCCGGCGTGTCAGTACACAATAGATTTCTTAGAATTTTAAGTAATTTCTTAGAAATTTACCTGGAGGTGTTAATTCAAATTAAATGAATGACGTAAAATGTTTATGTAAAGTTTGATTAAAAAATGTTACGAAAGATTTTTAGTCCCGCTTTGTTTCTTTTGCCAGTATTTTTTCATGACTTAGGCATTTTCTTATTGAGATAATGATATAAACTCTTTTTTAGTGACAATTATAAGTTTAATACTAGATTCAAATAAAATTTATTGATTGATATGAAAATCTATGTAACTTTGCCGTGTGTGTGATGTCTGACACGGCGGCCAATCTCACTGAGACTAGCAACTGCCCAGGAGATATTATAGTGGCTATCCGGATTGCTACTGAGATTTTCTTAACAGAAGAACTCAACAAGTAAACTTGGCCCGACACGGGAATCGAACTTAGGCCTGTATATTATTTGATCTAATAAATGTTTTAAATATAAATTTTACTAGTTTTTTTAAAGATGTCTTATGAACATTTACAGTCTTAAATATTATTTGTTTCAGGTACTTTGGTCCATGTTAGACATTCTCCAAGTGCTCAGCTTTAGTTTGGAATTAGATGCAAATCAAGAGACCCCGCTACTAAAAGTGCCCGGCACTGATTTCACTTTGCAACTCCAAGATACTTTGGAAGGACGAGAGGTTGTATATATTACATATTATAAATTACATGATAGTTATTTTTGTAATTATTTATTAAAAATATGCTATTATTATGATTATTCTTTTAGTTCTTTACGCTAAAACGGCTGAATAGATTTGAATAAACTCACACATTTTTTACATAAATAAACCTTGAGTAACATATGTAATATTTGTTATTTTGACGAAACGTGGTGCTACCTCTATATAATATTCAAATTCATCTTGGGAAGCACCTGAATATATATAAATAAATATATATGTTGGGACATTAACACACAGAACGATCTAGTTCCATGGTAAGCTACGAGGTTGTGTTATGAATACCAGATAGTTGATACACTACACATGTGTAACTTTAAATACATACATATTATATATATAAACACCCATGATTGGAGTATATACATTCGTGCTAATCACACAAATGAATGCCCCAAGCGGGACTGGAACCCGCGAACGCTGGCAAAGTCACTAGTAGGGTCACTACAAACAGCCAAACGTGTCGAATGAAGCGAAAATATGTCGTTTGTGTGTAATATCTGTAACAATAAATATCTACATATAAATGTAAATATTTTTGTATTTTAATGTCATATTTTTTAACTTGTTACAGGGAATAGTCAAAGATTTTGCAGATCGGTGCCACGGTATAGTTCAAGAAGCCATGAAATGGGCGCCGCAGTCGACGCGCTCACATTTACAGGAATATCTCAATCAGGTTACATAGACATTTACTCTGAAATAATGTAGGAAAACTATCTGAACCATGCAATTCTTATTTATTTATTTTCAAGGGAAACAAACATATAAACAATTATATTATAAAACATATATAAGTAATTCTAAAACCAATTAAGTTTCCATAAATACGTAAGTTATACATAGAAAATGCTTGCCACCACAATGCGATGTGTAAAGATTTATTTTATGTTGTCACTAATTAATGTGTTGTATACACAAATAAATTATATGTCAATAAAAATAAATACGTAAGTATGTTCATATCTCAGCTTAAAGAAAAAAGAAAAAAATAACTCCTAAAATTTCTTGCTATTTTTCATATGTGTAGGTGTGTGCGTGCGTGAGTGCGGGTGTTTATTTTTTCACAATGTAGCAATAGTAGTAATAAATAATTATAAGTAGAACCCTTTTAAGTCGAACCTCGATAAAATGAAAACCTCCCAAACTCGAAAAAATGTTGTGTTCCTTTCTCTTCAAGCCTTAAACCCCCATTGCTCGAAAGCCCTAAACCCCCATTGCTCGAAATGTAACACTTATAAGTCGAAATAATTAGTGATTCCGTAGAAGTAAATTCAGTACATGTTTTTCCTCTATAATTCGAAAAAATCAATATAACATATACAATGTATATAACTGTTTCTTAGTTTCATTCTAAATAGTTGGAATAAATTTTAACCTCTACAAGTCGAACATTTCCTGTCAAAATTCGCTTGAGTCGAAATCCTCCGTAAGTCGAAAACTCTGTAACTCGATTTTTTGGCGTCTCCCTTTAAGTTCGACTTACAGAGGTTCTACTAATAAAAAAAAACAAAATAAATGTATCCAGGTCCCTAACTCAACGCTGTGGCATCACTGCGGGCTGGCGCTGGCGACGGGCGCGCTGATGGGCGCCGCCGGCCTCAACCGCTGGTCGGCGCCGCTGCCGCGCTCCGCCCTGGACAAGCGCCCGCCCTGCGTCACGCAGGACTCCGCCGCCCTGCTCGCGGTCGTCTCGCAGCGGAGCCGCTATGCGGGAGAGGTGATGTTATTTATTTGGTATTATATATCAGGGGTCTGATAATAGAGGTGGCAAAGTCCGATATAATGTAAAACCGTTGATTAATTGATTAAGTCCATCACGTCATGTAAGTTTTTTAGTCGACGTAGAAGCCGACAACATTTTAAGATATGAATATCTAATACGTAAAAATGTATTTTACGTATCGAAATATATTAGATTTGCTTTGCATCGGCTGGCACCGACTTCGAAAATATCTGATTAGGTATCTATTCTAAATGAAAATCCCCGTTTAGCTATTTTTTACATTTTAGTGCCTGAAAGTGAATTTTTATTTTATTTTTTAATTCATTTATTTATTCAGGTTAAAACAGTCGTATAATACAAGAAATCTAAAACAGTAAGAATACAATTAGACCTATATTACCCAAAATTATTACAAATGAACTGATTTGTCATCAAAAGTGACGGATGCTAAATAAGTAAGTATGTTATACAAAAATAATAAGTGAAACTAATTGAATAATTTTTAAGTTTTTATAAAATGTCAAATATTCGTCTAAATTTAAGAAAGTATTGTATTATTATGTTAAGAGTCCGTTGTTGTCGTGTACGCAGGTGGCGGGCGCGGTGCACGCGGAGGGCGGCGGCGAGGCGGCGGTGTGGCGCGTGGGCGCGCGCCTGCACGCGGCGCTGCGCGACGCCTGCGCCGGCGGCAGCGAGACCGCGCACCGCGCCGCGCTGTGGCGCTGCGCCGCGCTGCTCGTGCACGCGCGCGGCGCCGCCATGTCGCCCACGGCGCGCGCCCTGCTGCATAGCATCGGTTTGATCTTATACACAATATGTTATATTCAGTATTATATTATTACGAATGATTATTGAACGTCATAAGTCTAGCGCCGGTTTGGAAAGAAAAAGGTGGCGTATTAAACTCAGCGGCATTACTTATTGTAATATATTTTTTTATTTTTTTGCAAGTTAAATTATATTAGTAATCTGGAGGAGATCACATCATTCCGAAGACGTGTCATCTCTTATAGAATCATTAATTGTGTTATAATCTTTTCACGACGTTCTATAATTTTTTAAATTCTTTTATCTGATATATTTGCCAGCTGACCCGATCTGATCGTGTTCCAATTTTAAAAGTCCAATATATCAACATTATAATACATAACTTGAATGTGTATTGAAATAATTTAAAATTATAAATTAAAAATTAAAAAAAAACTCGACCAGCTAATATAAAAATGAGTACAGAACAGCAGTCGTATATGTTGTAAACTTAAATAAAACACTCATTGCAAACTACTGGACCGATATCGGCCACGGCGGACAATCTAAATTACTAACTAGCCAACTGCGCAGGAGGTATTATATACCGTCCCAGTTGGAACAGTACAATATAGATGTTATTAGAGTTTGGAGTGCACAAGTTAAAATACTTTGAAGTACTTTAATGGCCATGTTTATTCGGCTCAGTGTCTTTAAATGCACTGGTAAAAAATGTAGCGACGCATCGCCTCGAAAACGTATCACGCAAAGTGAGCAAAACTAAAAATATATGTGAAAGCGTACAATTATAGTGCAGCGCGTGTACGCGCAGACACAAATGCACTCTCTATTCCTGTCACTCTAATCCGGTAGGACGATTACTTGACACGGCCAGTGAGAATTAAGGCTCAGGATCAGCGACTGTCCGGCACGGGGATGAAACACCACCAACTTCCCAACTCCGGGCTGTTACTGAAAATTTCTTGATAGACAAATACTCAATAACTGAACTTGGCATTACTTGGAACTGGAACCCAGGACCTTCAAAACGGCATCTATACATGCTACCCACTAGACCACCTAGCACTTAACATATCCACTAACTACTATACAATAAGCAGATAATCTTCCTATCCCCAGCATGGTCCCAAGTGGATATATTCACTGAGGACGCGGTGACGTCAGCAGTGGAGTGCTGGCAATGGCTGAACACGTCCAGACCGGACCTGGAGCTGCGGCTGCTGCAGGAGATATTCGCGGCCTGGCAGTGCACTGTGGACAGGCGGATGGGTCTGTTCGCGAAACAACCCGAGGAGATCAGCCCTTTAGCTGCTTATGAAGGTATTATAAGACTGATAAATTTTAACGAATATTTGACTTTTACTGTATTTTTGAAGTTATATTTCTTTTGCGACGCTTGGAAAAAATTATGCGAGTAAAATTTTTACGATGCGCGCGCACACTGGCAGCCAAAAAGCGATATGATGAAACTTTCTTAGATTTACGCAAATATTTGACATTTTAAATAAAACTATCTTTTCGGATTATTTCGCGGATTTATTTTGATTTTTGGTTCCCGGCGTATCGAATGCTTTACAGCAATCATGGTCACGGGAGAGACTAAGGTTATAGACGTCTCAAATACTTGTTACAGACAGTGCCTGCCCACTATTTTACAAAATGATTTCAAAAGTTCAAATATGGCAATAAAGTACCTTACAATATTTGTTGATTTTTATTTCTAAACATTTTAATTTTTTTTAATATATATATATATTATAGAAAGATTGTTATTTACAAATATAAAAAATAGTACTTACTTTAAAGTTATGGTATGATACTGAAGATGATATTAAATTTAAATTAATAATAGAGCACTCAGATATTGATTTTTTTTTGAATAAAATGTGAACGGTGTAAATGCCCTTAAAATTCAAACTTTCCTACTATACTTTCATAGTATTAGATGAGTACCTACCATGAAATAACGTAACATAAGCACTGTATAGGCACACACATACACACACACATCCTTTTAATACTTTAACATTTTAGATTAGGACCTTTTTATTAACCTTTTTATATATTACGTTTTTGACAGATTTTAGTAGAAAGTAGTGACATTAAAAAAAGTTGTTTAATTATATGCACCATTTTTATTTCTATTTCAAATCAAATAGATTTAAATAATATAATATTGCTGCAACGGCCATAAATAACTACAAAGATGAAGCGACAATCGGCTTACCTAATAAGCCCTTTGCCTTTTGAGTGCTCCTTGTCATAAAGAGTACTTTTAGCCTTGATAATGTATCGGAAATTCCTCACACGCAAGAGAAAGTCCGTAAACATGAAAAAAAACACAATTTTTTTTGTAATACAAGATTTTGTATTTCAGGTGCTAAATTAGAGCCTCGTCCACCGTTCGTGGCTCCTCATGCGGTATGGGTTCGGTACTTCTGTGAGATTGCCGAGACGGCCAAATATAATAGCCTAGAAAAAGTAGAAATGTTGGCTTGTTTGCTTCATAGGTGAGATATTGTTTTTTTTGTATTAGTCATTAATAACATTTCGATGCGGAAATATGTCTTATTATCTTCTTTTTTTTCTTTTAAATTGTTATGTTGTTTTTATTACCTAAATAGTTTTTTTAACAGTTCTATAGAAAATTAAATAAAATACCGGTGTTTTGTGTCTACACACACAAAGTTTTACTGGATAAATATAACTTTCCCCATGTGTTCACTGTCAAAATAATGAAAAAAATAGATATTATACCAAGATAATGATTTTATATATATACATTATTATTTCAGATCTTTACCAATAACTGTAGGTGACGTTCGCGATCATATAAATAGACATGTAGAAGCGGCTGGGGTTCGATTTAAGTAAGTATATAATTTAGCACTTTTTAAAGTCCCACTGCTGGACATGGGCCTACCTTCACTGTAGTGTAGTAATTTTCAGTATGATTAGGTGAGATCATCTATTTTCTTACTTATGCCATCCTTTTCTATGATAACGGCGCATTTATAAACATATGACAACAAATAAGCAAAAATAATCAATTACTTATTAAAGATTTACGTTAGCTTGATCAGGTCCTTCAGTGGCTTTTTTCGACTTAAAATAAACCCTTATTAAAAATAGTTCTTATACATTATAGTATTTTGTCCACTTATTTTGTCCAACATGGTGGAATGGCCTGATTCCCCTCGTATTGAAGGGAGGCCCGTGCCCAGCAGTGGAACATTAAAAAAAGGACTTAATACAACTAATAAGTAAATAAATATATTGGGATATTAACACACAACACCATCTAGTTCCACGGTAAGCTACGAAGCTTGTGTTATGGATACTAGATAATTGATACACTACACATATATAACTTTAAATACATACACATTATAAATATAAAGACCCACGACTGGAGTATAAACATTCGTGCTCATCACACAAATGAACGCCCCCAGCGGGACTCGAACCCGCGACCGCTGGGCGCAGCAAGTACGGTCACTACAAACTGAGCCAAACTTTACCTTTACAGATTACTCTCCTGCGGTCTTTCTCTCCTACAAGGCGATATTCTCCCTCGCTCTCTAGCTCGGAACATCCTCAGAGAACGCGTGTACAGTGTGTGCTTAGATTACTTCTGTAGAGGTTTACAATGTCCGACTAAAACCTCTGGGGCTTTGAGGGAGGATATTATATCATTGATAAAGTTCTGGCAGCTCATGCACTCGGATAAGAAGTATTTGAAGTGTAGTGATATTGGTGGTGAGTATATATGGAATGTTCTAGATTTTTCGCTATCTTTTTGTAAGCTAGATCTATTTATATGGTCGTATCTATAAAAATGAGCAAAACAATTGACGACGTTTTTTCTTAAATTAAAGTGTGTAGGTATTATATCATTAGGTATATGTTTTTAAACACTTTCTTTATACATTAAAGAAAGAGGTTTTATGAATGGGCTGTTTTGGAAGGTTTTAATGTTTAGATTGATTTTTATTTTCCTTATAGAAGTTAAAAGAGAAATTGAAAAAATTAATTGTTTATTTTTTGTTTTTAGGTATAAATTCTAATAAAATATTCGGTTAATTGTAAACAGTTAGATTATCAATTTTAATTTACTATGTGTATTATATAGTAGTATAATATTATACTCGGATTCTGTGATATTATCGAATCGAATAATACATTAAAAAAATTATAACAAGTTATTAATTCGTAATTAAAAATAAATATGACCTAATTTTAGTTGACTGCGATGTAATGGGCCCGAGTAGTTCGCAAAGCATCTACACGTCGAACTCGCCCACAGACAACCGCTCGTCCGTCAACAGCAGCGACATCGGTAGCAGACAGACCACTGGATGGATTAACACTGTATGATTATCTATTTTATACTAGCGAATTAAAAACAAATCTATCCCCCGGGAACCGTATATTTTCCCGGGATGAAAACTATGTGTTATTCCAGACTATAATCTATCTCTGTGCCAAATTTCATCCAGATCCGTTCAGCCGTTCTGGCGTGAAAGAGTAACAAACATCCATACATACTCATAAACTTTCACATTTATAATATTTAAAATTTATACAGATATATATTTTAACTAGCAATTTACTCTTGCTGTTCTCGGATACGTCTCTAGACGCTTTTAGTTTCCGAAAAACTTGATCCTTTACTTAATAAGTAACTTTGAAACTTAATAAGTTTTCGAAAGACATGAAGTCCATCAACCCGCACTGTACCAGCGTGGTGGACTATGGCCTAATCCCCCTCATATAGAAAGGAGGCCCGTGCCCAGCAGTGGGATGTTAAATAGACTTTAAAAAAAGAATGTTGAAAAATACAATACTCAGTGAACAGTCAGACTATAACAAATAGACTTGTACACAGGTACCAATGTCAACCACCACGCTCAGTAGCGGCGCGGGCAGCGTGGCGGGCAAGCGCTCCAACCGCAGCGTTAAACCGCCCGCCAAGTCCTTGGACCCCTTCGTCAAGGACTATGTCAGGAAGAGGAACCTCATATTGGAGTTGATGGTGAGTTTAGTTTTGTTTATGTTTAGAATTGTGGTCTTGACTTTATTAATTTGATTGAGTTTATATAACTGTGAGTGTTTGTACGATTCGGTGATACGATCAGTGGCACACCGAATACAACGTCATCTACTGGGTCCATTTGTTTTTTCAATTCTTGCAGGAACCCGCCATTCGAATATACACAAAAAATATCATTAAAATCGTCCCTGCCGTTTAGGAGATGATCAGTGGCACACCGACAGCGCCACCTACTAGGTCCAATTGTATTTTCAAACCATCCAGGAGCTCATTGAAATATACACACAAAATTTTACCCAAATCGGTCCAGTCCGTAAAGGAGGAGTAGGTTAACAAACACACGTATAGAGGAATTATATATTTATATTAAGATAAAAAAAATATCTTATACATTTTTCAATTTCGATCATTGATCAAAAGTAACTTTTTAAAATTCAAACTGTCTAAACAAGCCACGAATATTGCAGGCGGTGGAGATAGAGTTCCTGGTGACGTGGCACAACCCGCACGCGCGGCCCGAGCAGGCGGTGCCGGGCGAGGACAACATCGCCACGTGGCGCTCCAAGCCCAACACCGACCGCACCTGGCGCGACTACGCCAAGCTCGCCTGGGACATCAGCCCCACCCTGGCCGTCTTCCTGCCCGAGAGGTACTGCTTTACCTTCCCACTGACATTGCAGGATATGGAGATAGAGTTTCTGGTGACGTGGCACGTGATGGGACTATGCCAAGCTCGTCTGGGACGTCAGCCCCACCCTGCCGCTGCCCGTTTTCCTGCCTGAGAGGTACTGTCTGTTGGTGATGGGTCTCGTGATGTGGTTCATCACAAAACCTTGTGATTTTAGCATTAACTTAATTTTTATAGTCATCACTACATAGTTAAAACAAAGTCGCTTTCTCTGCCCCTATATCCCCCTATATATACCCCTATATATGCTTAAATCTTTAAAACTACGCATCGGACTTTGATGCGGTTTTTTTAATAGATAGAGTGATTCAAGAGAAAGGTTTAAGTATATAATTTGTTGAGTTTTTGTATACATTGGCTAAAATATAACGATATTTGTTGGAGGTGTCGGATAAAATAAGACGTCTGGGAGCTTTCAACGAAAACGCTGCCCTTTGAGATATAACAAAATAATGTATGGTGGAATAGGGGATCGGACAGTAATCAGATAAAAATCTAAAATATACTTAGATAAAATAAGTACACTGTTTAACGATTATTTATCGAATAATAGTTAAATATAATTCATTTAAATATTTTTAAATGAAGAAATAAAATTTTGTTATTTACAATATTTTAAGTCTGTACTGAAACACCAAAACACAGTGCGTGACGTCATTTGTTGAATTTTGACATTTGACAGCACGTCACAGTATATATAATATATCATCGTCACGTTATATGGTATCGCATGTAATTTTCCATATCATTCGGCAGCTGAAACAAGTAAAAATGAATAAAATCTCGTAAATATAACCTCTAACATTAAACAATGTACATTTACTACAAATTAATATTTTTCATTTGTAGTAAGTAACTACTGTACACTTACGTCAAAATGATCTTCACAAAAGTAAATTGGTGAATTTACAGACATTCCGTCGCACTTTTTTCTTGCTAAGACCAACCATTTTTTTCGTATATCTGCTTTTCTTGGCACATCAATCAATATTTTATTTGGAGTAGTTTTTGATGTGTTCGTACATTGAGGTACTACACACCAACGATATGTTTTTCGTTCCATAACAACAAATAAAGAATATTTTCCACGAAACAAAACTTCTTGCGAATTTATGTTCATACAGTCGTTTTGTTTATGTTATGAATGACCACAGAACAATAATATTGATGACATTTACAAGTGACGTCACGCGTATAACGTGTCGTTTTGGCGGTATTTTTAAACAAACAATATTAAAACATGATTTTGAGTACCTAAAAGGCTATAAATAAATTAAATTAATTTTTTTATGTGAATAAGTATCCATGAAGATTAATTTAAAACACTTTCTGAAAAATTGTCCGATCCCCTATTGTGTATCTTATATAGGTCTACAGAAAAGTCCGCGATGGCATATGTCTATCTCTTAAGGATAACATACTATATCCATTTTAATTGAAAACGTACCTAGGGGCGAACCCGAGCGAAGCGAGGGTGAGTCGCTAGTTATTACTCTATGTCCCGTTAATAGTAGTCCAAAAGAAAAGTGGCAAGAGATGAAGTCGTGTCCTATGAGAAAAACCAAAAAAAAATTAGTAAAACTTTTACAGTTTTCAAGATTTTCTGATTGTCATGATTTTATTGAAAATTTATTACCTTGATACGTATAATTTATGCCATTTTATTGAAATAGCGAAAACGTAATTTTTTTTAATTAAATATTATGTCTGAGTAGATGAGTAACTGCATGTCTATTGCAGTTTCTTAATAACATAAACAGTTTCTTTAGAAAAAAATATTAAAGTTGCTAATTTCAATGAGACAACATTTTTCATTCAAGTTTAAAGTACTGTGGGTTAAAAAAAATACTACATCCTTGATGCCCATGGGCTTGAAAAATAGTGCAATGAATGAAGATTTAAAAAAAAGTAAACAAAATTTCATTGCCGAAGATCATAATTTTTCGATAAAAGTTTTTGGTTTGATTTTTGCAGTAAATCTAAAAATATTGTAAAAATAATATATCTCTTAGAGATTGTGGCCAAATGCAACCAAAACTAACAACAAAACAAGTACGGCACTTGATATTGTTTTCCGTAAAAATACATTGCCGTTACGCGACCAAATAAAACGATAATTTTTCTCTTTGGCAAAAATACGTGCTGCGGCGTAGATATCTTTAACTGTAGAAGTCAAGTTCTCTGAAATGTACACCGGATTCTTCTCCCGATATATCCAGATGCGCCGTACTTAACTGGTCGTCTTTATTTGCTTTATTAAAATTAATCACTCGTGCCAAAAATGTGTCTTTTATATAAAAAGCCTACGTTAATAGTTTTTATTATATTAGTTAATTTAATTTCTTCGTCATGAAAAATATACTATTGATATGGTCGATTTTTGTATTGCCATAAAGTATAGAATTATGAAATAACTAGCAACTCACTCTCGCTCCGCTCGGGTTCGTTCCTAGTTACGTTTTAACGTTTAGTATAGATTTCTCAGAGATGAGATATTTCCCTGCAGTAAAAAGTATCCTATATGTATAAGTGGTTCAGCTACCATCATACCAAATGTCATCAAAATCCATCCAGTGGTTTTTCCGTGATGCGGCAACAGACAGGCAGACAGACAAAAAAATCTAAAAACTATAGATTCGGCCTCCGTATCGATAATAATGTCTATTCCAAAAAATATTTAATGTACAGATTCGGCTTAGTTACAATTTTATTATATGTGTAGATTAATAAAACCATTTATTTAACATTTTTTAGGCTGAAGAACGAAGGCATAATAGCAGAGATCAAGCGTAAAGTACAACTACACCCGACCGACGTGTGCCACGTGCCGCAAGCACTCAAATATCTGGTTACTACCGAGACACTATTGAACGATGCTCATGAGGTTTGTTTAGAATACTTTATAATAATTATTATTATCTACTAGCGGCTCACCCTAGCTTGGCTCGGGTTCGTCGCTAAGTACGAATAGATATAAATAGTTATTAGCTAGCGTTAGCAATATAATTTTTTTTCGTTAATTTTTCTGATGTTTTATACTTATTATCCTATTCCGGACTAAAAGAAATCCAAAAAATGAAATATCATAAAAATTGGTCCAGCTGTTCTTGAGTTATAAATGGTGTAATTAATGTGTGAAATTGATAGATTCTAATAAAATAGAGAATAGTTATATATCACTGTTCACATAATAATGACTTTTACCGATACAATATATTTCACATATTATCCCATTATTAATGTTATAAATGTGAAAGTTTGGATGGATGTTATTACTCAATCACGACAACGGCTGAACGTATCTGGATGAAATTTGGCATAGTTTATAGTCTGGAAAAGCTCATAGGTTACTTTTTAATGGGGAAAAATGTGCTGTTTATGTGGGATAGATTTGTTTTTGTTTTTCACTAGGGACGAACCCAAGCGAAGCGTTTAAGTATCAAATAAGTCTGTTACGTAACTCTGAAAATAATATCACTATGATCTTTTGTGATCAATTAAAAGGACTTGGTAGACCCGAATAAAAAAATATATTTAATTATCACTCTGTATAAGCTTTATTACTGTAAAGTTTTATCAAAATCCGTTCTGTAGTTTTTACGTGATAGAGTAACAGATATATATCCAAACATCTGCATCATCACGAACTTTTGAATTTATAATATTGTTAGGATATTAAAACTATGATTTACAATGGTAATTATTTCTTTAATATAATATTTAAACTTAATTATGTATATACAAAACAAATGTACACTTAATTATTAAACTATACATTTAAATGTCCCTCAACCCGTCCACAGCTCGTGCATATGGTGACGTGGGCCCGAGTGACCCCAGTGGAGGCGCTCTCGTACTTCAGCCGGCAGTACCCGCCGCATCCGCTGTCCGCGCAGGCCGCCGTCACCGCGCTCACCTCCTACCCCTCCTCCGCCGTGCTCACCTACATACCGCAGCTGGTGCAGGCGCTGCGGCATGACACGGTTAGTGTAGGGTTAGAGTTAGGGGCCATTCATAAATTACGTAAGGATGATTTTGACGATTTTTGACCCCCCCCTACTGCCCATGTAAGGATACATAAGTTTTCACGACCCCCCCCCCCCTCCCTCTTTTTGCGTAAGATTCAATCTCGTTATTCTGAATAATAAAACGTTGTTAGAAAAGGATCAGTTACACTAAAATTCACAGTTTGACCTAAATCAAAGATTTTTATTTTTTAGCAGATAATTTAGAAATTTCTCCTTTCATTTCTGAAATATGAAATTTCTCCCTTCTAAAATTTCAAAGTTGGACTTTTAAATAATAATTAGATTTAATTCAACATTGATACATACAGATGGGATACGTAGCAGAATTGATCAAGTCGCTAGCAAAGAAATCACAAGTAGTGGCGCATCAGCTCATATGGAACATGCACACCAATATGTATACGGATGAAGAGATGCACAATAAAGACAGTAAGTAAATAACTACTATGTTACGGAAAAAATATTTTGAACTTTATTTATTGTACTGCTAGTTAAGAGCAACACAGCCAGAGGTCCTAAGAAAACTAACATTTAATTATACTTAAAATTACAATTATAATGAATGTATCTAATGCTACGCGATGTAACAAATAGAATATCTATATAAAATAATTTTCAACTTCTATTAGAAAAACAAAAGTGTAAGATTACGCTATGACGGAAATGAACGTGGGAATGCTGACTCCGTTCCACGTGTCGCCAGCGTACGGCGCGAGGTCAGCGTTCCACATATAGCTATACGCTGCGCTATAACATGCTAATAAATATTGTGTTCAAAATAAAAAAAAACTAAAATAGTCTCTCCGACTTTGTTGGAAACCAAGATGATTTTGAGTACTTAAAAAATTAACATCACATTTATAACTCAAATTAAAAAAAAAAACATTTAGCATTAAATTATTACAATTTTTCCTGAACGTCATGATTCTAGTTCGGAAGTTTCAGTTCTGCGTAATTTATTCTTTTCCCATTTCTATTTAGTATATAATTATAATTATTATAGAAAGTGTCCCACGCTTTTTACGTTTTTTTTTAAATTACGCTGCGGTTTTATTTAATTTTTTATTATGAAAATCATTTTATTATATTTCTTTCGATTTTAGTTTTAATTTTTTGTTTGAATCTCATACCATTTATAAATGTCTCGTAACATTTTTATCCTGCTTTTTTGTAATTATTTTCAGCGGCATTGTACGATATATTGGAAAATCTGACAAAGTGCATCGTGGATACACTATCGGGGCCAGCGAAGGCGTTCTATGAAAGAGAGTTTGATTTCTTCGGCCAAATAACGAACATTAGTGGTATTATACGACCGTATCCTAAAGGAGCTGAAAGGAAACGCGCTTGTCTAGAAGCACTTAAAAATATTAAGGTAAATTATATTTTAAGTAGTCAATTAGCCTGGCTTAGCTCGGGTGCGTCCTGCCCTTGAATAATTTAGGAACGATTAAAAGACGATTGTCTATAACTCACCAGAGTTTCATCACAATCAGACCAATAGTTTAGGAATGCATAGATGACAAACATACAAACATTCATTATAATTTATATAGATAAAAATGTTGTATTTTCTATACAGGTGAATTTTCTTAGGATCTTAAATACAGTGATTTTAACATAAGTTCTTTTAAGAAATGTTGTAATAGGTTCTTTTGCCGAATTATTAAATTTGATAGAAATTATTTAAAATTAAAATAATCGGTTATAATTTTAGCGTTCTTATCGTTTTATTTAGAGTTAGTGCCTCTATTTTTATTATCAGTAAGAAATATTCGGAAAATAAATATTTAAATCGTAAACCCTTACATTTGATAAAACTCAAATACAATTGAAAATTTATTTATTAATACGTAATAATTTTTTAACTACCTTATTTCAGGTGCAACCCGGATGTTATTTGCCATCAAATCCAGATTCAATGGTTATTGACATTGACTACAAGAGTGGTAGGTTGATATTATTTTTTCATTTATGTGTCCATAAAAATCTCATACTGCAAATAAGAACAGACTGTTTCCTAATTACTGGTTTATAAAAACTACTTTTTATAGGGATATTTTAAAGGGATTTTTTTTATATTTAAAAAAAAATTATAATTCATTCATTTTATAACACAGGTTTTTCTATCACAAAGAATAGTATCAGTAGTAGTAGTAGTAGTAACCATATAGAAAATAGAGAAGTATTGAGTTGTTAAAATTAGGTCACTATGTATATATATTTAGTTAGTAAGCCTTTAAAACGCCTCAGTCGTATGGTGTAACAAAACCAAACAAAAGACAACTATAAGTAAACTAGACAGTGTGCAACGGATGGCATGTCTAATTATCACGGGAGCCTTTCATTCGGCACCAGGAGACGCTCTAAATGCTTTGTTGGACATAGCTCCGCTATATCTCCACGTGCAAAAAGAAGCTAAATCCTGCCTCTACTGGCTCTGTACACAATCGAATGTAAGGTTGCAATCGCAATATATGAACAAACTCAAAGAGTTGACATTCGAACATAAAACTCTAAAAATGCCAGTGGATGGCATGAGCACAGAGTTTAACTTCACAAAACAGTACCAAATAGATCTTCCCAACCGGGATATGTAGCTAAAAGACCAAGAGTCTCACAAAAAGGGCAGTCATGTTTGGTTTACAGACGGATCCAAGGAAGGATCTGATGTAGGGTGCGGCATCTATGGCCTTAAGCCTAGATTTGACATGAGTATCAATCTGGGCAAAGAGGCCACCATCTTTCAAGCAGAGGTCTTCGCCATTAACAAATGTGCTGAAGTCATCCTGGAAAGAAAGCTTAAGAACCAAAATATCTACATCAACTCAGATAGCCAAGCAGCACTTTTGGCTATAGATTCTCTTGAGACCAACTCTAAGTTGGTCAAAGACTGTATGGATAATCTGAATGTCCTGGGCACATCCAAAAGTGTTACCCTCAGATGGGTCCTGGGTCACTCAGGTATAGCCGGGAATGAAAAGGCTGATGCTTTGGCAAGAAGGGGCGCTGAAACCCCAGAATTTGGCCCGAGCCATTTTGTGGTATTGCCAAACAACATGCTTATTCAATTCTCAAAAACCACTGCAATCTCAAAGCACTTCAAAAGTGGCAATCCACTTCTGGACAAACACACTCTAAAGCGCTAATTAAGGGATATCGCAAAACCTTTACAAAAGAGTTGCTTCAACTCAACAAGTATAAAACCAGTGCGGTAACCAGAATACTTACTGGTCACTGCAAACTCAATAAACATATGTTTACCGTCGGCCTCAGTCAGACCGCAATGTGCAGACTATGCCATGAGACAGAGGAAACTGCTATGCACATCCTCTGCTCGTGCGGTCCACTCATGCACCGCAAAAGTATCTATCTAGGGCATATTATGCAACCAGAAGAGATACAGATGCTCCCCGCTCAGAAAATCTGGAAGTTCCTGGAGTCAACAGGACTAAGCGGAGAACTTTAATTCATTCCAAAGGGAACTACAATGAACCATAACTGGTCGACGTAGCTAGGGCCGACCTCGGCACCACACCCAAAAATAAATAATTATAAGCCTTTAAAATAATTATTAATAAAATAAATAAAATAAAAATATATTTCATTTCATTTAGTTCATAATAACAAAAATGGATACAAATGTACTCCTTAATCTAAAAACCTTTATTGTATAAAAAAACATGGGCAATGGAGTGCTGAGACGCACACACTAGGATACCCTGTGTCGCATACGTCTAAACTTGCACAGGACCCTCTTATAAATAAATAATTGCATTACTTATAGGAATGATATGTCCATCTGTGTGTCTGTGTCTAACATAATATGTATTGCCATTGCGTAAGCCGCCATTGACGTCACAAAATATCTTTGCGCAACCTAAGAGTTTTTTTTTATAAAATATAGAACATAGATATGCTTATAATGTCATCTTTAAAATGTACTGTACAAAATGCCTAATACTAGTAAATCAATTGTAACCTTGTAAGGTCAATAAAGCTTAGTATAATTTTCTATTGTTAACAGGCACGCCCATGCAGAGTGCAGCGAAGGCGCCATATTTAGCGCGTTTCAGGGTGAGGAAGTACGGCATCTCGGAGATGGAGGCGGTCGCGATGGCCATCGCCTCCGGGGAGGAGTTACCTACTGTTAGTGTGTTGAGCTTTATTTATTCATTTATACAGATAACAGATGGAAATCGCTAATTTTTTATTTATTTTTTTATGTTGAGACAATAACACGCAGTACCATCTAGTTCCATGGTAAGCTACGAGGCTTGTGTTATTAATACCAGATAGTTGATACACTACACATATATAATATTAAATATATACGTATTATAAATGTAAACAACCATGACTGGAGTACGAATACCCCAGCGGTACTCGAACCGGCGACCGCTAGAGCACAGCAAGTACTGCGGTCCCTGCTAACTGAGCCAAACGTGTCGTCGATTCGAGCTATTCTTGTATTGTTGTAATTTAATGATATTTTCTATGTACTAATTAACTGTGTATGGAACTAGATGGTGCTGTATGTTAATGTTCCAACATATTTATATTTAAAACATACAGGAGGAAGGCAAAGACCGGTACACGTCGATAGCGGCGGAGACGTGGCAGGCGGCCATCTTCAAGGTGGGCGATGACGTGCGCCAGGACATGCTCGCGTTGCAGGTCATATCCCTGTTCAAGAACATTTTTCAGCAGGTCGGCCTCGACCTCTACCTGTTCCCTTACAAAGTTGTCGCCACTGCACCTGGGGTGAGTCTGTCGGGTTTTTAATGATCAAAATATATATTATAAATAACAATGTTTTATTTCTTGTACAGGCATTTGTATGGGCCGAATTCCGCAGAAAACACATGGAAATTATTGTAAAGGTTATACTATTGTAGCTTCGACCAAGGCAATTTTTTTAGAGCATATTGTCCTCTCATAATTGCAGAAACGGAAACAGATTTTATACAGATTATATCGATGTAAATAGTGACGTTGGAAAACTTTTGAGTATTATATGTACGCTACAAGTCTACTGCTTTGTTCTACGGTTGTACGCTTTTTTAACCGACTTCCAAAAAGGAGGAGGTTCTCAATTCGTCGGAATCTTTTTTTTTTTACGTATGTTCACCGATCACTTGAAGACGCCTGAACCGATTTGGATTTTTTTGTTTCGAAGGGTGCAGGTGTACTTCCCCGGTGTAGGTCCCATTTAAATTTTATCGAAATCGGTTGAGCGGTTTCTTAAAAAAATCAACAAAAATCGAATATGTTAGTAAGTTGTTTTGTGGTGAAAGGTGGTTGTTCTAAATATTTAAGTATGGGGGTGACTTTGTTTAACCGATTTAGTGATAAAAGAATCATTTCGATTTTCAATGAGCGAAAGTTATTTATGTATATGGACATACTATGTGCTAAAAATAGATTCATTCTGGTGAACTCTTTTATAGAAGGCTGTGAAGTTAAAAGTAAAATATAATATAATCGATAAATCCACCTTAAGATTTAAAATTACTGTGCACACTTTTAACTTTTGTGTTTTTCGATACTTTGTTTTCCTGTATTTGTGCTATTACCGTGTGTATAAATAAATAAAAAAAATTACTATATATAATAATTTTTTGTTTCATTTTAGTGTGGTGTAATAGAGTGCGTGCCTAACGCCAAGTCCAGGGACCAGCTGGGCAGACAGACCGACATCGGCATGTACGAGTACTTCATTAAGAAATATGGAGACGAAACAACAAGAGAATTCCAGGTGAACATATAATTTGGACTTGTTGACCTGTCAAATGTTATCCTGTGCAAATTTGATTGTAAATATTAAGTTTTTTCAGAAATCCGTAAGAAAAACTAACTTTCAAGTTTTTCCCATTGTTCTGGACAACTTAACCAAAGACCTTATTCGAATCGACTGTAAAACAGTCGAATTGTTGGAAAAAAAAAAACAAAATTTTGCGACAAAATCTGAAAACATAGTTATATTTACAATTTATATTGTGATTTTTAATAATCGTATTCGTTTTATTATGTATTATTTCTAATTTTCTTGTAAATTTAAGAAATTATTAAAGATATATTAAAAACTTTTTATTAACCATCGAAATTAAACTTTACAACTAAATATGTACTTAATAGATAATATATTTTATTCAAAAATATTTATTATGTTTTTTCTTAGGCTGCGCGAAGATGTTTTGTGATGTCAATGGCGGCTTACAGCGTCATTGGTTTCTTACTTCAAATCAAGGATCGGCACAATGGCAATATTATGTTAGATACAGATGGACATATCATTCATATAGGTAATGCACTTATTTATTTTTATATTTTTATTAGCAGTACCGTTATGATCGCTACCAAACTTCTGTTTGGAAAAATTCAGGAAGATTGCCTAAAAAATTTCATCAAAATCGCTCCAACCGTTTTGGGAGTCCACAGGTAACATACATATACACACGTCGAGTTTTTTAGATAAATATATAGATTTTTTATTTAATAAAATATATAAATAAAGCAAATTAATTCCTTCCCAGATTTCGGTTTTATGTTTGAATCATCACCCGGCGGTAACCTGGGCTTCGAGCCTGATATAAAGTTGACAGACGAGATGGTGATGGTGATGGGCGGCAAGATGGAGGCGCCGCCCTTCCGGTGGTTCTGCGAGCTCTGTGTACAGGCCTTCTTGGCTGTCAGGTGAGTTTGTGCCTTATTATATTGAGGATAAGGAAGGTTTTTATTTAGCTTCAAATATGAAACCATAAAAGCTAGTTTCCTGGTTGTAAGGTGAGTTTGTGACTTATTGTGTTAACGATAGGGTTGATTTTTGTCCAGATTGAAATGTGGAATAATATAGCTAATAGATTTTGCGAGAAGTGTATGTACTGGCTTTCTTGGTTATCAGATAAAATTGTTCCTTATTTTGTTAGTGATAGATTTAATTTTTATTCGGCTTCGGGTATGAAAATGTAAAGTTAATAAAAGTCCTGCCAACTCTGTATACAGGCTTTCTTGCCTATTAAATAGTTTAGTACATTTTTGTATAAGAGACTTGTAAAGAAAAAATTAACTAATGTATCAATATAAAAATTTCAAACTTATTTGTATTTAAAATCCAGATGAAATTACAATAATTTAACACTGAGCTGATCAAATCATGGTGCTAAGAGATATGAAATTTTTAATAGCTACAAATTTTAAAACTTTTCAGTAAACGAATCTTATTCATTCCAGGCCCTATCAAGAAGCTATAATATCAATGGTGTCCCTAATGTTAGACACTGGTCTCCCATGCTTCCGTGGTCAGACCATCCGTCAACTGCGCTCACGCTTTGCTCCCAATTCCACTGAGAAGGAAGCAGCCGCCTATATGCTATCTGTAATACGAAACAGCTTCCTCAACTTCAGGACCAGGACCTATGATATGATACAGTATTATCAGAACCAGATACCGTATTAGGGTTTGTAAGATCATAGTTGGGATGAGATTAGGTGTATGTACTCGTATGTATATTAGGTAGTAGACACATTTATCTAACAATTCTTTAAAATCACTATTTTAGCCAAGAAATCATAGTCAAATGAGTTGGCAATAAGCGACGTCACAGCTTGCTATTGCCATACAAAGTGTATGGGGGAATCCAGTTTTGGTAACAACTTATTGGTGGTGTTAACTATCTAATTATATAGGTATTGATGGTCTATGATTGCTTTGTAAGGGACATATAAGTTATGGGTATTTCTCCGAGATTGCGTTCTTCGTCTGATTTATCTGGCCAAAAATTATATTCATTTTTGGCTCTATTCAACATATTCTTATGATTAAAGACTGCCTCGGTGGTGTAGTAGCTAGCATGTACGGCTGCACACTCGGAGGTCCTGGGTTCGAGTCCTGGGTCGGGCCAAGTTTAGTTATTGAGTCTTTCTGTATAGTAAGTCACAGTAACAGCCCGGAGTTGGGAAGTTGGCGGTGTTTCACCCCCGTGCCTCAGAGAGCACGTAAAGCCGTCGGTCCTGCGCCTTAACTCTCACTGGTCGTGTCGAACAGTCGTCCCACCGGAGTATGAGAGTGATAGGAATAGAGAGTGCACTTGTGTCTGCGCGTACAATTGTGCACTATAATATCTCCTGCGCAGTTGGCTAGTCTCAATGAGATTGGCCGCCGTGGCCGGAATCGGCTAGGAGAACATCATGATTAAAGACATGCTAAATAATATTTGGCATGTCTTTAATCATAAGAGTATGTTGAATAGAGCCAAAAATGAAAATAATTTTTGGCCAGATAAATCAGACGAAGAACGCAATCTCGGAGAAATACCCTTATATATGTCACGGCATATTGTAAAAGACATGAAATTATAATTTCAATTTTACTAAGTCATTTCATGCTGGGCGACAAAAAAAGATATCTAAATCTGACCAATCAGTGACGGGTTTTACAATTTAACGGCTTTTATCATTTAGTGAAATTATAATATACCTAACATTGCCCTGTGATATTGTAAAAAAAGAAGATGATTGACCAAAACTCTGGGAAGTTATAATTGTACGGCTTTTACAATATCTCTGCGATATATATACTGTATTAATCATTTAAAAAAGAAAATCTTAATTTGGTTGTATGAATATATTATTATTTTTTATGTTATTTGAATGTCTCTTTGAGGAATCATGTGTGATGATCAAGATCTAAAACAACTACTTAATGGGGAAAAATAAACATATCGAGATTGGATATAATACTTTATTATCATTTAATATTGTTGAATTAATCTATTCTAATATTATAAAGAGGAAAAATTCGTTTTTTTTTGTTGGTTTGTTTGTATTGAATAGGCTCTAAAACTACTGAACTGATTTAGATGAAATTTGGCAAGAAGATAGTTTGAGACCCTGGGAAGGATATAGAATAGTTTTTATCCCGGAAATCATCCCTAAAGCGGGTGAAAATGGGGATAAAAGTTTGTATGGGGAAGCAACCTAGTGACGCACCAGAGCGAAACGAGGGTGAGTCGCTAATATTATGACATAAAGATAGATTTGGGGGTCGATTTCAAAGTAACATGTTATTTGATGAAATGCATTCCTTTATCTTAATTTAATACAGTCGTAAACATAATACGATGTTTTTCATATATTAATTTTTGACGAAAAATTAATTTGCTTAAGTATACACAGTTTTCTTTATAAAGTTTAACATTAAATGTGTAGGTGTTGCTTTTTAAAATATTGCTTATATATATTTGTCCACTATGCATAATTAATAATTTATAATTTTTAATAGATTAATACAATTCAATAATATTTATGTTCTTAACAGTATGCCTTTAATAGTATATGTTTAGACATTGTTTAAACGTTATTATAGTAGAATATTGAAAAAGATAAATGGAATAATTGAATAAAACTATAAATGCTGTGAACCATATCATATTCATGGTCTCATAGTATAATTATTATTACGATTATATAATATAATAATAAAAATATAAAAATTAAATAAAATAGAAATTACGTTCAAATATATACTTACAACACAAGTACCTATAATCTATATAATATATTGACATAAAAAAGCCAAATGTTACATTTATAACACCATTGATATACAAAAATCAAGATACACAATTAGCCTCTCAAAATGTCCTCCAAAAGAATCCCACAATTCGAAATTGTGCGCTTTTCTCAAATCTCTCTTGTTCATTGCTCGGTTGACAAAATTAAAACTCACGTTGTTTTATTTAAAAATGTACTTTATGTGGTGTGCGTAAGTTCGAATTTGTGTTTAGACAAATGGAACTTTCGGTTTTTGTATTCTATTCTTTGGTTTGACTTAACGTTACATATCGACGGCACTTTTTGGAGAGATATTTGTTTGGAAATGTCTATCATGTTTTTATATATCAATGTAAAATACTATATTTTATGGTAATTTCAAAAAAATTATATAGAAATCTTTTTTTTATTTTTCTTACAATTTATAAAAAATAGGGGTATTAGGGGGAGGCCATTTTGCACTGATGACCTCATATTATACGAGTATTAAGTATGTTATTTTTGTAAAGCGGTGTTTGGTACTTTTATCATCATTTTGGTATCGGTTCATATTCCTTCCGGGAGGTTCCTGGCGATTAGTACTTACACTTAATTATTTGCACAGTTTATTTTTTGTTATTAGAAAAAAATATTAATTTGATATGTTTGTATACAATAAAAAATGTGTGTGTGTAAAAAACTTATGTACGCACGTAAGAAGTTACACTTCTTTGGCGTAACAGAACAAAAATAACTAAAAATTTCATCCCGTATGTCACAACTGTGTTTGTAAAAGGAATGCAGCTAACTCCATCATGTCGCTTTTTGGCTGTCGGTGTGCGCGCGCATCGTAAAAATTTTACTCTCATATTTTTTACCAAACGTGCCAAAAGAAGTATAACTTCAAAAATTGATCGGTTTGATTCTTATATTGCCAGAAAGAGGTTTGAACAATATGCTATTTTGTTACAGGTGTGTTAGGTTCCTTATAGTTAAGAATATAATAATAGGCAAATTGTTTACGGATCAAATATATGAAATAATATGCCGGTAGCGAAAAAAAAGAAAATATTACAAATTTAAAATTGTAAATCAAATAATATAAAATTAAATACATATTTAAAATCTAGTAAGATATAGATGTTCTATATAGAGTAAATATTGATGTTTAGTAGAAAAATAATGCAGTAATAAAATTGACTTGTTTGGATGAAGCTTATACATTTATATACTAAATACATATAAGTGTCTATAATCTGATATTCGATTACATGTGAATCTTGGAAAAATGTGAAGTCTTTATATATGTATGTAGTAATTTTCATATCGGTTTGTGTTTTGGAGCATTTAGATTGCACTATTAAGGTGGATGCCACAGGTTCAATTCAAAAACAAAAAAAAAATGTTTTAATATATTTATATGCTGTTTAAATGTTCCAAATGGGAATCAAACCGGTGATCTTCCGTCGGTTTGTACTAGTTATTATTTAAACTTTAAAGTACTGATAAACAAATGGCTAGAAAAACATAGAAATATGCTATAAAGGGTTGCCACTATTCTACTTATTATGAGATATTATCTAATTGAAATTATGCCAAAACATTACACGAGTTATCAATATGCAGGCGTAAGCAATGCATGGCTTTATATATCTCATCAGAATCATAATATATTTTGATGTAAAAAATAATATTTTCATGTAAGTAAAGTATGTTATTTATTGTAATATTTAATATGATTATTTCGATATGTAGTGAAATTTGTTATTTTGTGTCCGTTCAATTGTTGATCATGTCGATATTCTATTAAATTTATTATTATATTTGATGTTTGTGCTTTCAAATATATCATACATCTGAATACACAACTCTTGCCTCTCATATTTTGATTTTTTAATGTTTATTTTTTTTAATAATATAATCTTAATTTAAAATAAATAATTCGATATCGAGATTTTCAACCATTTAATTTATTATATTAAAAGTTAAATAAATACAAGTGTGTATAATATTAAATTTAACTGGTTTATGATATATTTGGAATATCTCAACAATATGATTACAAGTATGAAATGTAACATGGCTTATACTTGCTTAGTCATTACTAACTTTTGTAACTTATTGGTGTAAGGTGAATCAATGTTTTGGACATTCCTTCGATAGTAACTTTGTTGTTTGAATTAAAGTATGTGGTAAAGGATTTTTTTTTTCATTTATATCCCTTTAAGAAAATTAAATTTTATTTTTTAGAAATGATTCGATTTATTGTAGAGGTAAAGTTTGTGAGGTTGTAGGGAGTAATCTCTGGATCTACTGAACCGTTTTTGATGTAATTTGTTAAGAAGATAGTTTGAGACCCTGGAAAGGACATTTTTATCCTGGAAGTCATCCCTTAAAGGGGTGAAAATGGGGATGAAAGTTTGTATGGGGAATCAACCCGAGTCTGTTATATTTCGCCATGAACATAAAGACCTAATACTATGCTAGTACAGATGTCTCATCCTAAACAGAAATTTTACTGGCTATTTTTGTTTGCTTGAATAGATAATAGATGTCGTTGGTTGGCAATTAAACTTATCTTATTTTATAAATATATACCTACAAACTAACGTATGGTAAATATTGTAAAATGCCTCCTGCATTCAAATAAAAATAACAGTTTTTTTACAACTGGGTTTGTTACAACACTTATAACTCGAGAACTTCTGGACAGATTTTTATAATCTTTGTTTTGTTGGATTTGTCTTCATCCCGAATAGCAGGATAACTATAAAAAAATTGAAAAAATATCTATTCCATACTAATCGTCAAAACGTACCTAGGGACGAAGCTGAGCGTTGCGAGAGTGAGTCACTAGTTTTTACATAAAAAGCTAAAGCGCCATCTGTGAATATACATTACCAGCCATCATGTAATTGCTGATATTTCAATAATCAGTCAAATGACGATTTGATTTACTTTATATTATTTCGTTTCCCTTCATTGAGATTATTTTTTAATGCAATAATATACCTTTTTGGGATCTATTTTTTTATCTTTTGTTAATTTACCACAATTTTCATAACAAATCGATACATGTAACGTCATCTATTGACATTTATCTGAACTATTTTTTCTTTGTTTGTGATGAGATCCAGTAATATTACTATACTTTTAGGTAGCTATTGACTAGACTACTAACTGTTGACAATTTTGTTAAAATCGCTAAGTTAAATGTGAGATTCATAAAATAAATAAACCAATATTTTTATTCATTTGTATTTGAATCACAGCTTTCTAAAAATGACAAATAAAATTCTAATTTTTTAATAACTTTTTTTACTTTGCTTACATCTAAATATGGTAAATGATTTTTAGTGTGTTCTGGGAATTTCTTAGAAAAATCTCCATTACTCTTCTCATTTTTTGATTCGTTCTTTATTTTGCACAATGACTTGGCATCTGTAAATATTTGTATGAGATGTGAAAATGCTGCTTTACTGTAATATATTTTATTTTCCTCACTTGGGCCTTGTAGTATTAGGAATGTATCACTTTTCATCACATTTAAACTTGCTTCATCTGTTTGTATGTATTCACTCTGTAACAAATTAGTGATACTCTTTTAGTCTAATTAGTTTATTTAGTTATACTGTCATTGCTTAAGATTTTAAAATCAGTTAAAGAACTATTTTTATCTAAATTATGCAAAATTTAAATACACCTGTGAAGTTAACGACAATACTCTGTGCACAATTCAACATATCAAAGAGTTTTTAATCTATTCATATAATAAAATTATAACTAAGCCGAATCTGTACGTTAGATATTTTTTTGGAAAATCTTATTGAAATAAACATTATTATCGATAGAGGCCGAATCTATAGTTTTTAGAAATTTTGTCTGTCTGTCTGTCTGTTATCGCATCACAGAAAAACCACTGGACGGATTTCGATGAAATTTGGTATGGTGATAGCTGGTTATCCGGGTCCACGTATAGGATACTTTTTACCACAGGAAAATATCTCATTTCTGAGAAAAAATACAATAACTGCAATGTAAGAGTATACTAATATCACAGATCATATAAAACTATACTTAATCTGGAAAACCTAAGAATTTGGTTTTTAGTCATCTGAACGCGGGCGGAGCCGCGGGCAATGCTAGTATAGTTTATAAACACATTTGTCCCTTCACATCGAAACGGAGAGACGAATTGGCGTGATTTTTTGTGTGGAGATAGTTGGTGGGCTGGAGAGTCATATAGGCGACTTTTTACCGCGGGAGATAGATAATATTTAGTTCCCTCAAAAAAATATTTATGATCAGAATTACTTGAAACTTGGTATTAATGGTCTTCAATAAAATTAAATAAATACGTGTTTTAGCATTTTTCGAAATTGATTCTATAAGGGGGTAAAATAGGGGATGTAAGTTTGTATACAACTACCTATTGTCTTGTAGTTTTAGCGCGAGCGAAGCCGCGCGCGAAAATATAATGCAATAATTTTTACACACAACAGTACCAGCACTTTTTATGGACCAGCTTCACTCAAGCTCATCTATACTATATTATAAAGAGGCAGTTAATTTGATTGTTATTTCTTCGTTTGAATGCACTAATCTCAGGAACTACTAATCCCATTTGAGCAATTCTTTTTTCATTTGATAGACTGTTTACTCAGGAAGGCTATAAACTAATATATACTCTATCTATTCCATACTCACTGTTAAAACGTACCTAGGGAGAGACCCGAGCGAAGTGAGGGTGCGTCACTTTTTTTTTTTTTTTTTAACGTTGGGAAATGCATTTACGCACGACGTGTGGGACTCACCGGCGTACTACCCAACAAAACCTTCCCCCGTCTTAATGGGGCGTCGCAGGATCGTTTACGCATTTAACTACGACGCCCCGACGGCAGGTCTGCCAAAGCAGACCACCATAACCATGGGGTTGCTCCAAGGTCCACTCTGCTATCAGAGAAGTACCAGGAGCAACCCGCAAGGTACACCGCCCACCGAAGTGGGCAACCTCCCTGTGCGTTTCTTAGCTTCGCTACTACTACTGAGCCCCCCCACCACGACAAGGTGAACGCACGTTAGGGGGGAGGGTGCGTCACTAGTTTAAGGCATGCTAACTGTAATTATTATTAAATTTAATTAAAACTTCTACATAAATTTTAGGCAAACTTGAAGTTATCATGTTTGAGAATCAGATATTGAATTTAATCATTTCTTACTATGAGGTTTATAGCATATAGGTTTATTATAATAAAATATAAAACTTACTTGTAGACATCTCTGAGCAACTGCTTCCACAGCTAACTCGGGATCATCAAAGTTGGCATTAGAATCTAAATTAGTACAAATATCTAGCACACAAATGGCAGTTTCAACAGGTTCAACTTCACCATTGAAATATCTCATAATAAAAGCATATGCAGCTATCACATTTGCCATATTAAATCTTATAGCAGGTGATGGTTTTACACTCTGAAAATAAAAGTGAAACGTTAATTTTGTACATTTTAGGTTTACATATTATTGAATAAAGCAAATTCTAGAAAAAAAAAACAGTAAAAAAAAGTGTTGTTTTTAATAGTATAGAATAGCTCATTAATATAATTTGTTCTTACTGTAAGTGAAGTAAAGTCAGGAACTGATTTAATTTCTGGACATGATTTCAAAATTTCTGTTTCAATATCTGAAACTTTTACATCCTCGACAAGCTTTTTCTCTTTATAATACATCCACCACGGCACCCATTGAGGTAATATATTTTCTATATCACCTTTACTAAGCATTGCTTCAAATTCATTTTTCTCATCTTCTGTCAAAGCATTCCATAGAACATTAGGATCATCCAAGTTTAAATCTTTAATTCTAGTGTGTAAATCAATTTCTGAACCATCATCAGAATCTAACTCTTCTTCATCCATGACATCCTCTGTTTGATCATCAGTTTCATGCATCCTTTTTAAGATATTAATCATTTTAGTCTTTGCATCATCATTGACTTGTTGGGATGCAAGTTCTGCATCCACACAATCTCTATAAAATTTCTCTGAACATTCTAAATGTTTATCTGATTTGTAACAATCCAAAGAACAGTAGAATATCTCGCATTGTGGACAGCAATATTTGCTTGGATTTTCTTCACACCTGTAACAATTATTTCTCAAAAGGTTTGTCTCAATTAGCAATAAAGGATATGGCTGTTGCTATTCATCCTATAATCGGATGAATTAAAAAATATATTATTCGTCAACTATTGTCGGTTTGTATGAATATCTACGATTTTCGTTTTCTAATATAAAACAAGTAATTTTTATGTGCAGATGTTTCTTTACCTATAGAAAAAAATTAACCTTAACCTACCGAGTTCAAAACTTATTCTTTTAGATCCCAATGGTTTTTAAGTTCAATAGTTTTTAAGTATAAAAAAAGCGACCTAACCTACGCAGCTTAAAATGGATTTCATTAGGAGAATATTACTGCGTCATAATAAAACAAGATATTTAATTTAAGTCCATTCGAACTTATTCGAAACATAAAATGTTAACTATCGATATTCTTAAAAATCTATATAAATATCTTGATAAGTTAGTATTGTTTTTTATTGAAACATAAAAAATAATCGCAGTCGCAATACATCATACTCTAACAATAGTCGGACAAATATTTTTTATTCATTCGATTAATAGGCGAATAGACACTTCCAAAGAATATAGCAACTCGAAAACAAGTAAGTTATAATAATATAAATAGTAATGTTTATTTACTTACAAGCCGCATAACCTATTTTGTTTTGAAGTTGAAGATTTACTTGTCATTTTGAAAATTATATCCTACGCACATAAATTTGATAAGTGTATGTAAAAATATTAATAAAAAATCTTATTTTAAGTCAAATTATTCTTTTGTAAAGTAAGATTTATTTAATATTTCATACAAGAGATTTTCAATGTTTATTTTTTAATTTGTTCAATGTCAATGTCAACCAGGGCTGCCAGACAATAGTCGTTGATTTACCCGAAAAATAAACGGTGAAAAAATATAATAAAATGGTTTATACCGCCGCACCGGTGCCAACCATGGGCAGAATACCCGAAAATAGTTTTTTTAAGGAATTAATTTTAATTTATGTAGAATTAAAGAAAGTACTAATGTTATAAAAAGAAGTCATTGTAATCAGTTCTTAATTAAACAGATTTAAATTATTGAATCAAATATAAAAAGAACTTTAAATAGGTATCTAATTAATCAATTTTCGCTAGTACTTAGTTTAGTAGAGTCAGAAGATCATAATTTGGTTCGCAACATTCTAAAACTGGGCTGAAATTTCACCTCCCACTTTACGGATACTTTCTCGCGCGGCCAATATTACAACAACATCTGTTTTAAATGAGTTTCGATGAGCTGTTTGAATATTTTTCTTCAATTAAATGTACTATTATGCATGTTTCCAGCTAAACTAAAATACACGTTTTTACCCTACTTAATGCAAATACCCGACAAAATTACCCGCCGTCAAAAAATAACCTAAAATTACCAGCTTTTCGGGTAATTACCCGCCAATTGGCAGCGCTGATATCAATAATATCAAGCGAGTATTTAGTTACACAGCAGAAATTCATGTATTTGTTTTATAATAAAATATTTTTATAATATAAATATCAAAACAGTATGATAGTATAATAGTCAATATAATAGTTAATTGATATAAAATATTGGAGAATATCATAATAACTACTTGATAATCTTTTAAAAGATGAATCGTTTTAATTTATGACAGCTACAGACTTTAGACATTTAAGTAGGTATGGTTCATGGACTTATTAATTGTTTAATAAGTCCATGGTATGGTTTGAACCATAGATGTGGTTTGAACTTTGATATGACATTGACAGTATTTTGTGTACAAAACAGTGTTTTGTTGTGTTTTGAAAACACTCAAAGAGTATAGTTATAAACTGGGAAAACACTACTTACATTTTGGGTTATAATGTTTTCTTTACTTATAAAATGAAATTATAGTTTAATTATATATCCAGGCCTTAATTTAAGCAGTAAGCTTTCTTCAATGGCAGAACCAGAAATAGTAGAAGATTTTTACGGCGTCTACCTACTTTATTCAATAAATCCAAAATATAAGGGTCGAACTTATATTGGATACACTAGAGATCCAAATCGACGAATTATGCAGCACAATAGAGGCACTTGGGCAGGAGGAGCTCATCGTACTAGTAACAGAGGACCTTGGTAACCACTAAGTATATTCTTCAAATAAGTATGTTTAAATTTGAATCTTTTTGAAAAGGTGTTTATTTGTATCAATAAATATTGCTTTTAGGAAAATGGTGATGATAACACACGGCTTTCCAAACAATATATCAGCATTGAGAGTGAGTAAAATCATAAAATGATACCTTTGTTGCCCTAGAAATGTTTCCACTAATAAAATGTTGAAATATTAATTTATATAGTAATATCATTGATATACTTATAATGTTATTTACTAGTAATAAAAAATAATTCATTATAATTTAATGTAACATTTATTATATAAATTTAGTGTTTTATTCCTATTGCTTTTTTTCTATAGTTTGAGTGGGCATGGCAGAATCCAAACAAAACCACAAGATTGCAACATCTTGATCTAAAGAAAATTGCCCGTAAAGAATCAGATTTTCAATTCAAATTAAGAGTATTTACAGAAATGCTTAAAGTTGGTCCTTGGTGTCGTCTTCCATTAGTCATAAGATGGCTAGAAAGTGATTTTATTGAAGAATTTTTAGTAAGTTTTTTTCTTCTTGTAGTTGGGGTAAAAACCCTTGTTATAACTTGTATATTACTTTTTCTATATTAAGACACTAGCGACTTACCCTCGCTTCGCTTGGGTTAGTCCCTAGCTTGATTCCCCATACAAACTTTATAAAATGTATCTTATGTCCTTCCCAGGGTCTCAAGCTATCTTCTTAACAAATTTCATCTAAATCGGTTCAGTCGGTCCAGAGATCCCCCTACAACATACAAACTATGACTATGTGATAGTCACATATTTTACCTCTTTATAATATTAGTATAGATATGACTGTTGAATTTTTAAGAAAAAAATCTTTTATCATTTCATTATAATTTAAACTGTCTTAATTCTGGAATCTGTATTAGAGCCATAAGACAATTCTGGAATCTGTATTAGAGCCATAAGATAATTCTGTTAATTAATTCGTAAAAAGAACCTATTGTTTACAAGTAATATGATTAAATATTTTGAAGCCATAAACAAGAGACTTGTATCAAAGATTAGATATTATATTTCTTACTTCAATAAAATTAATTAGTTTTATATATTTTTAGGCTGACAGAAAACCACCAAGTCATATGATCATTTGCCAAGGCCCAGTTAAAAGTAGAAATCTTAAACTAAAAAATATTATAGAACCCATTCCGACAATTGAGTGTCTATTATGTTCTGGATATTTGAAAGATAATGAAAAACTTACTTGTATTAGCCCAAAGTGTGATTTAGTCGCTCACATAAGTTGCTTAGCTGACAAGTTACTGCCAGCTGGAGAATATATACCTATTGAAGGTCATTGCCCATTTTGCAACATTAAATTGAAATGGGGAGATCTTATAAGGAAAATGAAGGGGTGTAATGCAATGACCTATGACAGTGGCAAAAGTGATGAATTGAAAAATGATAAACTTTGTAATGATGAAAGTGATGACGATGTCGTTTGTACGCAATATAAGTCGTTTGTGGATACACCTTCATGGTTTTTAGATTGTAATGAGGATTTATGACCGAATATTTTATTATTATTAAATATTTTAATAACAATTGTTGTTTTTTTTATTTGTAATCAATAATTTGATTCTGTTTGTTTATGCGAAGTTAGTTTCGGAAAATCGAACAGACGCCGGCGACTAATGGCTCTCCGAAGTATGGGGGTGTAACACTGCCCTACTTTCCAATTCCGAGCTGTTATTAAGAATTTTGTGAAAAAAACTTAATAACTACATTTGACCCGACCCGTGACTCGAAGTCAGGACTGCAGCAGTTTATGCTAGCCATTAGACCATCGAGGCAATTCGAGTTTTTTATAAGTAAAAGTATTTTAGCCTAATATTATTCTTACTCTTAGACTTTTCATTCAGCACTGCCTCAATTAAGTACGTCAACATTTTTGTAATCTTCTTACGTACAGCAATTAAAACTTATTAGTTATTTTTCATTCCTACACTATGTAAAAGCTGAATAACTCTATAATTACTTTAAAACTACATTTTTTGTGAACATCTTTAAAGCCACGTGAAATGTACACGAAGCGTTTTTTATGATACACTTGTGACACAAATTAGTTTTTCTGCTGACCATTTATTGTGTAGTCGAGATGAAGTCACGTCGCGCATGATTAGCAATACTTTCACTGGAGCATCAGCGTCGGCATCGTGGTGTGATAAATATTCAATTAGCAGAGATCAAAGATAAAAAAAAGATAATGTTAATATAGATTTCGTAAGAAATTTTTTTTCAGATGAGAATAATAAACAGATGAAATACCTGTGTTTAAATTTTATAAAAATGACTGTCGAATAATAATGCAAATCAGAGCTAAAGTTAACGTAATAATAATATGTATAACTCAACATTGGCTAATTCTCAAATGATTATTATATATTTAACTAGCAGAACCCGCGGTTACGCCCGTGATCAATCTACAAAAAAACTTTGGCTTTTTGTTATACAGCAAATCACACTCGCTTCGTTCGGGTTCGTCGCTATGTAGGTATTTATATAATTTTGTTCTTACAAAATTACTAAAATTGCGATTAAAAAATGGGTAGGAAGATGAAAAATACCTTACAATCTACCAAAAATTCAAAAAAAAAACATTAAAATCTGTCGAGCCGTTTCGAAGGAGTGCTACCATAAACACCGTGACACGAGATATTTATAAAGAAGATAAAGAGTAGATTATTATGTACATAAATGTACGGTTAATTATAGGACTAAATTTTTCAAATTCAAGTGAAGTTTAATATTACTAACGACTCAACCTTGCTTCGCTCTAGTGTGTCCCTAGTTACGTTTTTATTTTTTTGAGCGGAACCATAATTCTTTTCTTAAAATTAAAGTAGCCTAAGTCACTCCTTATAACATTAGCTACTGCCAGTGAAGGTCCCGTTAAAATCAATTCAGTTTTGGAGATTAGCCGGAACTAACAGACAAGACAGACAAAAAAAATTAAACTTGTGTTTTTCTTATAAGTATGTAACGTATATGCTTTCATATGCATTTCGCAAAAAGCTATTATTTTTATATTACAAACAGACACTTTTGTTTTATTTATCTGTATAGATGAACTTTATATAAGCCAATAGCGTATTAAAACATAATATTCAAGTATAATTATGATATTTTTTTGCACTAAGTGCGTAAAAAAGATATATAAAATTAAATAGTTTTTTTTAATATTGTGGTTAAAAAATAAAATAGACAATACAAAAGTGGCCATTTAATATTTACATACATTACATTGTGCACTTAATAAAATATAAATTAAATTTAATACATCTACCAGGTACTGAGTAGGTATGTCATGATTTATTAATAATTATCTAACAATTTTCGATTTCACAAATGAATAAATACTAAAACTATGTGGTATATAAGTAAAATATGAGATACATTAGTGGATTACTACCTAATTAATAATTTACAAAATTAATTCGAGAAATAAATAATATTTTTGTTTAAAAATTAATCTTAATTATTATAACATAAGCTACAAAGCTATAAGCTACAAATAAATACTTAAATGCCATTCATTTGGTATCGAGTTTTTCACGTCTAAGTATTCGTAAAAAAATTAGAAAAAATAAATGCGAATAAAATAGGTACTCAACAATTATCCAATGAAAATCAATAATCATCAAATAGGTCTTCATCATCATCAAAGTCGTCATCATCATCAGCCCCTGGCGGGACAAGAGCCCCATTCAATATCTCACTAACTGGTTCTTCGAATCCCATTACCTTCGCAACACCGTAAACGAGCCTCATCACCAAAAGTCTCGTAAAATCTACAGGAGTAGTTTCCTTCCTTTGTAACGTAAGTTCTTTTTCAGTTGGATAGTCCATTTTTTTTGTCTTCATCTCACACAACGCAAAAACACTGAACAGCGTAAAAAGAAATACAAGATGGCGCTTCATTGTTATAGTTCCCGCCAAAACAAGTTTTTTTTAAATTAAGTAGATTATTGTATTTATATATACTGCATAGCTGGATATCACAAAGTAGCAAGCTAACGGAGTGTTGTCGCTCGAACGAATGAAGAGCGTACGCAGGACTGTCACCGACTGTGTATTCCAATAAGTATATGGATAACTGTTAAGACGTGATTGCATATTTTACTGTTACTTCGGGTAACAGCGTGAAAACGTAAACGTTAATGTTCAACCATTTATAGAATGTGGTACATCATGGCGTAATGAGTTTTTATAACTGACACTGTAGAATGAAAACGAAAATGAAAATTGTAACAGAAAATTTACTTAAATAATACAATCATATTATAGGTATTTGCATTATCTATACCTACATATAATAAAAGTGTAACTGATTGCTGCCTATACGTGGAAGATATTTGAGAAAAACTATTATTAAGAGTCTTTTTTGACGCAATAGATCCCAAAACAATGATTTTTAGAAATTTTGTCTGTTTGTCTGTTTTTCTGTGCGTTTGTGCGCGCTGATCTCGGAACGGCTTAACCGATTTGGATGTAGTTTTCACTAATGTACTGTGGTAAGTTTCACTTAACATTTAATGTTCATTTTATTCCAATCGGTACAAAAAAAAAAAAAAAGTTATGTCAATTTAAAGAATCTTCGCTTAGATTCGTCGCTAGTCCATACATAATTTTAACTGAGCCGAATCTGTAAAATGAAATTTTAGAAAATTTTCTTAAAATAGCCATTACTATCGATACTGAGGCCGAAACTATAGTTTTTAGAATTTTCTTCTATCTGTCTGTCTGTTTGTGACCGCATCACGCGAAAACCACAGGACAGATTTTGATGAAATTTGGTTATCCGGATCAACATATAGGATACTTTGTAATGCGGGAAAATATTTCATCTCTGAGAAATCTATACTAAACGTTAAAACGTAAGTAGGGACGAACCCGACCGGAGCGAGGATGAGTCGCTAGGATATAAATTTAACTAATACTTTTAAATATCTATAAAGTCCTATATTATATTGTAACATAACACGTACTGTTAGATTAAGTGTCAAGTTATTTTTGTATTTCTATAATACAAAGTAGACCTTGACTGTTAATCTTGACATTGGTTGTTTGGAGGCTACGCGTTCGTGTAATTAAAATGCGCGGATACCGGAAAAACCTATTGACACAACTTAGAATTTTTTGCAGTTCGTTTTCTTTTAGTCGTTATAGACACCTACGCTTTATATGTAAAAATCAATAAAAAGAATATAGATTCTTTTAGTATAGAGAAAAATATTTAGTATTCCAATTATTTAGTAGTAAAACTTGTATCAAATATAACCTTTATTAATAAATCAACAAAACTGATTAATAAAAAATATATGAAAATAATATTATAAACTCATTATAACAGACGCAAGAAACATAAATTTACATTATTATTGAGGAAATAAATATAAAAATTCGACTACTGCTACAAGGACAATGAATGAGGATGATTAACACATGGGAGGGTTGTTCGTTGTGCATTTAAATTTTATATTAAAGTTAAAAGCTTCTGTTTTTGGTGCGACAAATTTCTAATCGATATATTTGGTCTGTTTATTATGCATGCTGCTTCATATGGCGGTAAGGGTACTGAAACACACTAACATTACGATCACAAGTACTCTACGATACATTTTATACTCGTATTTAGACAGGTAAGTATTTCGGGTCGACTTGCACTTTCGCATATTCATCATGATCATTTATCTTGTATGCATAGGTTAATATGATGAGAAATTTTACACTTGGTTTTAGCATTTATTTAGTTATCCAGTTATTAATACACGCTTTAGTTTTAATATAAGTACCTAATGTGTATCCTATACAAGTCTTATATTGTCCCGAGATAAGTATTCTATTCGCCTAAGAAACTTTCATTTAAATCGATTTAATCGTTTCCATGATCAATGTTGAGCGATGATATCGATCGATTAGTTATCGACATTTTATGGAACGGTATCCTTCGATCAATCAAAGCTTACAAAGCTATTATATGTCAATATTTGATGTGGTAACACCCTTACTCGAAATGATTTAATTTTTTGTTTATTTAATAGCTACTTAGGCTCTTCTTTGATTAAACACGCAAGTTAAGGTTCGATATAAATCACTTACTTTAGAAGTACAGTTTTTTTGTTGTTGTAAGCATGTTTTGATTTATTATTTCAATTGAAAAAATGTAAACATTAAGAATCATTTGTGTCTTGTATGAGGTAATTATATCATAATGAATGTGAAGCCTAAATATGTGGTCTATGTTTTTATTTCCTTAGTAAAACGTTTTTATAACGACGCTAATAAATAAATCAAACGCCAAGGTCGATGCTTTAAATTATAAGCATTTTAACGTCAAAGTTTAAGATGTAAAATGTGGGTAAAAATAATATAACAAGGTATTAAGTATATATTCGTTGATAGTTGTCACTCCGTGTGAGAGTACCCTAAGGCCAGGTGAAAGTAATGAATCTGGCACGTAACCTGGTTTGATGACATTCTTAAAACTACATGCAAATTGAAACTTATTCCAATTTCCGAATTCCAAATATGATAGTCGTTACACCAAATGTAATAAAAATATTAGGTATAATAAAAATTAGGTACAATAAAAATGTAAGTATATGTGGTGGGTCCCTAGGTATCCGGATTTTGTTCACAATTTCATGGGTTTTTGATTTTATGTGCAGAACCCAGATTTTTTAAAATAAAAATAGCCTATTACTCCATATAACATCAGCTATCTGCCAGTGAAAGTCCCGTCAAAATCGGTCCAGTCGTTCGGAGATTAGCCGGAACAATCAGACAGACAGGCAGACAAGCAGACAGACAAAATATAAATAATAAATAAATAAAGAATAAGAATTTAATAAATAGCTGTTATTATGACATTACAAACAGAGAATTCAATTTTATTTATCTGTGTAGATATCTATTTTATTTTATATTTATTTTTTATAATTCGTGAACGCAATGGCTTATGAATAACATTATTTTCATAAAAAAACATTGGCTTTTGTCCTCGACCTAAAAAAAAACAAATAAGTTGATAATTTACATTCACTTATAAAAAAAGAAGATTTTAAAGCGATTTCGGTCGAATTCTTGTTTACATTTAAAAATACATAGCTTATACAAAATTAGTATTTTAAAAGCCTTAATGATCAATATTAAACTTTTGTATGTGTTTTTTTGTATTTTGGTAGACACGTAATTTGGACGAAAAATCCAACTCCATGTGCCTAATTCAACAAATCAAGGATCTTATCTGGTTACAAGTTGAAACCTTTATAGTATCTTTCATTAAGAAGTAGCCACATTATGACGTTTTCGTGAAAACTGTAGAGTTGACGCGAAATAATTGTTAAGTTTAAAAAAAATATGGAAGGAATCAAACAGGTAAATCAAAGTCAGATGTGGGCAAGATCAAAAGCAATATCGTTCTTTGCCAAGTAAGTGAATTTATTTTACCCGAGATTAAAAAAAATCAGATTCAGAGCCAAAACATTTAACAGCATTATATTAAAGACTAGCGACTAAAATTTTTGTCTGTCTGTCTGCCTTTCTGTCTGTATGCCTGTCTGTTTGTTCCGGATAATCTCCGAAATAGCTGGATCGATTTTAACTGAACTTTCACTGGCAGATAACTGATGTTATAAGGAGTAACTTAGGTTACTTTTATTTTAGAAAAAGAATCTGGGTTCCGTTCAAAAATATTAACACCCAATTATGAACAAAATGCGTGTACCTAGGGCTTAACCCAAGCGAAACGAGGGTAAGTCGCAAGTTAATGTATTTTTTTCAGTTAACTTTCAATTTTTTTTTTTAGTTTATCTAAACTGTTGCATTATTTTTTTATCAATGATTAATATTTCTTATAAAAGTACCTATCTATAATATTATACAATATAGAGACTGGATTGCTACACATTAAGATGGGGAAGGTTCTGTTGAGTTGAGAGACACGTTTGGTTCAGTTTGTAGTGACCCTACTCGCTGTGCCAGCGGTCGCGGGTTCGAGTCCCGCTGGGGGCATTCATTTGTGTGATGACACGAATATTTGTACTCCAGTCATAGGTGTTTATATTTATAACTAGCGACTCACCCTCGCTCCTCTCGGGTTCGTCTCTGCTTACGTTTTAACGTTTAGTATAGATTTCTGAGAGATGAGATATTTTCCCGCAGTAAAAAGTATCATCATATCAAGTTTCATCTAAATCCCTCAAGTAGTTTTTTCGTGATGCGGTAACAGACAGACAGACAGACCGACAAAAATTCTAAAAACTATACATTCGGCCTCTGTATCGATAATAATGTTTATTTCAATAAGATTTTTCAAAAAATATTTAATGTACAGATTCGGCTTAGTCACAATTTTATTATATGTATAAATTTTTAACAATATTACGCAATATTATTAAAAATACTTTTAATAACAATAAGCGAGCTCACTTAGAATTCTTTAATTATCTAGAATGGAATGTTATACCTTATTATGTTATTATTAAGACAGTATATTATAAAATAAAACTAACCCACTACATAATTCCATGTTTCCTTTAATTACCTACCTCTTACAATTAAATTAAATTATTAATGTGGCTTTTTTGCATTACAAAAACTATTAAATGTGTTTATATTAGAAAAGCCAGGCAGGTACCTATAAAACGGGGCCTCTACAAGAATTGGTTATATAGAAACAATAATTTATCTAAAACAATAATATATATTAATTTATAGTTAATAATATACTCATATTATATATACTCTATACTTACATAATTACATTATATATATATATATATATATATATATATATATATATATATATATATATATATATATATATACACACTAGCAGAACCCGC